GTTTGACCAAATATAACAGGCTAATTTTTAAGTTGATAACTTTCTATGGCCCACGAATGATGTTATACATATCCAAATGGCCCTTGGCAGAAAAAAATGTTCCCCACCCCTGGTGTGGAGTCTAGAAATTAGACATTCGGACGGGCCGTAGTTTATTTATTTACTGTCACATTTCTGCCCAAAGCCGGATAAGTGCGTGCGGGGGGGCTATGTGCGTCCTTGTGGGTGACCGGTAACCAACAAAACGCCCGGTTCGACCAAACAATAAACCACCCGGCTCCGGTTCATGGTTTGGGGAGTGACTTACCCACGCCGGCGCGATCTAGCGAGCTCACACGCTTTTGTTGTGTTTTGCAAACACAACTAAAACAAAGATACCTGCAAGCTTTAAGGAACAGATGGGCGCTGGTCCGATTACTTACAATCCCCACCTCAAGGACAAACGTAAGGGCACATGACAGGTATAATAGATAAACTATGTATATAAAGGTGCAGTCCCTGCAATTGCTTGGCCACGCCACTGCTCACTGAAATGTCTCCAACTAAAGGCACCTCTGGAGAGCTCCTTCTCAAAGGGCGTTGGGCCCTCTCTCCTCCCACGATGTTACTTCACACATTAATGCCATTCACTTTTTATCCAAGGAAAGCCTCACTGAGTCTCAAGACTATTTCAAAGAGGGGTGCTGCCGCATTGGGATGCATGGCCACATTTCATTTAAAACCAAGTGTGATTTCCTGCCTTCATGTTAGAAACAATATCATAGGGTCATCAGAAGATATCCCTCAAAACATACTCGGGGAAAATACTCGGATTTGCCATATCCAGACTGCACAGCAGCCTCAGCTGGGCTTGTGGGATTCACAGATCTCTACGTGATCCACCAACCCGTGTCTCCTAAAAGATGGATCACAGGTGTGCCAACATACACGTGGCTTAATGAAGCACGTACTTTAATAGTACTGCTACAGTACTACTGTGCTTCTATGTGCAATGAAGAAGGGCCATTGCCCGAAACGTCGTCTGTCATATACGTTCATTTTAAGGCCACAGTGTTATTGACGAATGTTTTTGTATTCATTTTCTTAGCTCTTTCGGTAAAGTCACGTTGAAGGGAAACAATAAAATAATAATATATATATAAAACAATAAAAATTCTCACGACGTGATAATTTTTTTGTTGTTGTTTTTATATTACGGCACCAGAGTGATCCGTTTATAGATACCACGCCATTTGGGAAAATTGTACAGAAAGCAACATCACTGCAAAACGTTCGCCACATTAAATCACCTGTTGAGGACGAAGTAATACAATCATGAAATCTATATCTCAGTGAGGTCGTTGCCTGATGAAGCTAGTGCGGGGCCTGTAACATGATGTTATAAAGGGACCCTAAAGTAAAAAAAAAATCACAAATATTAAAACACTTCATTTTTTTACTTGCATAGCAAAGTAATTGTATTTTTTCATTTGTTATACAGCCAGATAATACGACAAATCGCTAACCTTAATCACCCAGTCGTTCATAAAAGTTTAATGCGGTATAGTACTATAGTAATAGAGCAAGTGCAGAATCACTGGACCGGAATTGATAGCTTGAAAGCGTTTAGCGCGGGGCCCTTGAAAGTGCGGGGCCCGTAGCTACTACATATGTAGTACATATGTAGTAGCTACTACATATGTAGCTACTTTTGCTACGAGGATAATCCGGTACTGAGTGAGATACGGTATCTATAAGTGGATAACCCTGAACAGTATTCCACTTGTATATGCATAGCTGTGAATTGCGCACGCATTTTGGATGTCGTCTGGTAATCAAAATCGTTGAGTAAACATCGCGTTTTTGCTTCAGTGTGCACAAAAAAAACCTTGAACGTTGGACTTTTAATTACTGTAATCTCGACCAACGGCTGTGAACTATTAATGCACGATACCAGTTTTCCGAGTTTGTCATTTGCCCTTGATGGAATCGCAAAGGGCGAGTGGGCCCTTCGAGTTTGCCAAACGCGAGGCAGTTCACGTCAGAGCCTATCCAGTACTGTTTCTGCATCATTATCATTGGCTATCCACTGCTGGCTTAATGCTTACACACACACACGCAACCACCCCGCGCCAAGCAGTACCAATACGATGCATCTCGACTCGCTCGAGCTGCACATGAACCCCCGCGGATCTCATAGCTACACCCAGATCACTCTCGCGAATAAAGACTGCGACCGGTGACACCACCATTATACACTTCTATACACTACCATCAGTGCCGGATTTTCCTGGTAGCAAAAGTAGCTACATATGTAGTAGTAGCTACGGGCCCCGCACTTTCAAGGGCCCCGCGCTTAACGCTTTCAAGCTATCAATTCCGGTTCAGTGATTCTGCACTTGCTCTATTACTATAGTACTATACCGCCATCAACTTTTATGAACGACTGAGTGTTTAAGGTTAGCGATTTGTCGTATTATCTGGCCGTATAGCAAATGCAAAAAAAATGCAATTACTTTACTATGCTGGGTATACATTTATGTGTTTTAATATTTACGTGGTTATTTTTGTTCAACTTAGGGTCCCTTTATATCAACATATGCTACAGGCCCCGCACGAGCTTAATCCGGCAGTGACTGCCATAGACAGACTCTAGCCTCTCCAGCTCTCGCCTGGTTAGAGACATTCAACTTGAAACTTATAACGGCAGTCACCTTCAGAGTGGGGGGGGGGGAACCTGCGGCCGTTATTTATTTATTAAGGACCACCACCATCACCACCGTTTCGTATTCACATTGCATTGCGGCTCTTGAAATATTGAAGGCGGGGGGGGAGTTACCGAATTACAACAAAAAAAAGCCTCATCGTTAATTTTGGTTGCTGGCCCTTGTCTTAGATGAACCTCTACAGCAGGCTGCAGCCCTTTGGTTCTCAATCGAAAACAAAAAAAATGATGTTAATACATAGCTTTGATGAAACAAAGTGGGTTGTATTCTTAGCTCTTTCAACGTGACGTTACCGAAAGAAAGAGCTAAGAATATGAATTGCTGCAGTCACGAAAGCTTTAAATCAAACGTGGGTTGTGTTTACGTGCTCGTGCTGAATTTTAGTTTCGATGTCTTACCTTCTAAACAAATCTGGCCATGCCTCGCACCCCCCAGAAAGGGGCATCTAGCGCCCCCGGTTAATAAGAACCACTGGCTTAGACGTATTCTCGTATTTATCTCTTCAGTTACGATATCTTGAGTATACATCGTACAGGACTAAATAAATCATGGGTGACCCAAAAATGAGTACTGGGCGAAGACCAGCACTCATTTTGTTCGGCTGGCCTCGGCTGGCCTGGGAACGCCTGGGAATTCCCCAGGGAGAGCTGGAGTCTGTGTATAGTAGTGTATAGTGTAGTGTATAGTAGTGTATAGAAATGTATCTGCATATATAAAAGGCAAAGTTGTGAATATGTGTGTCTGTTCAAAATGTTTAGCGTACTTCCCGACATTCAACAAACTTCAAATTTGCCATGTGGGTACTTTCCAGACTGTACACCATGCAAACATTATAAAAATACACTTTTTTTGGGGGGGGGGGAGCTCAATAATGCATTTATTTTTTGCACGCCAAGTGAGCTGTGACGTCAAATCTGTCACGTGACCCGCGCATGTGAAAGCGTAACGCATTGTAGTGTAGTGGTTAGCGCGCTGCACTACAAACCCGGCGACCCGAGTTCGATTCCTGCTCACGGCCACCACCGGTGATGATTATTTAAACCGCTTATGGGCCTCCCCTAGGTCGACTCAGCCTCAAACGACTAACTGCTGTGGTGTGTGAACATCGCCACTGGGGAGACAAAGGCGGCCGGGCGTCGTGGATCTAAGTCCCGGGCGAAGCCGGGTAGTACAGCTAGTAGTGTATACTAGTGTATCTTCATCATTAGACCTCTTTTGCCAGTACCAAAATATAATAATAGGGTTTTTTCCATTTTTTTCTGGCAACAAAACTGAAACCCTTTTACAAGGAATCATGTGTGCAATTAACCACAATACTTGTGGTCAAAAGTCAAACAAAAAACACACCGATAATATATGCATTGTCCTTGAAGCCTTTTGGCGTCATCTGGTCTAGCACCTATTGAGACGAGGCTCAAAAGAAAGCCGTCTCTGGTGTGAACCAATCAGTTTCAAGGACAATGCATATATAATCATAGAATGTTTTTTGTTTGCATTTTGACCACAAGTATTGTGGTTAATGCAGACATGATTCCTTGTAAAAAGATTTCAGTTTCGTTGCCAGAAAAAAAGGAGAAAAACCCTATTATACTAGTGTAGTTTATAGGAGTGTAGTGTGTATCGTAGTGTATAGTATGTATAGTGTATAGTAGTGTAGTGCATAGTAGTGTAGTGTATAGTAGTGTAGTTTATAGAAAAAAAAAGTAGCGCTTTGTTTCAAGCCAATAGCGGTCATCTGATGTAACACTCAGCCCTACCATAATAACGTGGTGTTCCCCCCACCCTGATTAGGTACCACGTTGTCAGCAGAAGGTCTTGCAGTCAATGCCATCGTGCTCCCAGCCTTCACCAAACATCACTTACCAGCGTGGTGAAGTATGGTAAAAAAAATAATCCGCACTACCCTCATCCAGCAATCAATTGACATCAGGGCTCACGGTTAAGAGTCAGCTATTTAAACATGAGCTCATTGCCATGCAATACCTATCGAGAAGTACGTATATAACCCAGTCATAGCATACATCAGTGCATCAAGACTTGGATTTTTCAAATCTCCATGACTTATTTGACCAGGAATTGACTCTGAATAAGTATATGCATACGTGCATGCCACACTGAATACTGTGAGAAGACCTGCGTCTACCAAAACGCAGCATAACTTGAAGACCACACATAGCCAGATGAATGTATACGACCCACGTGTGCAAGATGCACATACGAATACATACCCACGTGAGCATCGCAAGACAACAACAAGAAAAACGCGTGTCGGTGCCACACGGAGTGGCGACTTACGTTTTCTCGCCTCTGACACCTTTTCAGAAGCTCGCTTCTCAGCCTGCAGGAGTTGTTGAATCCCCTGGGACTGACTCGTCATGGTGGACTCGAAACCAAACCAGAGACGCACCGCGTACGTCAAAGACGGCGCAGACAAGCGGACGGCGCTGAGACGGACAGACCGTGTGGGACACGCGTGTCTGTCGGCAGGGCAGGGCAGGGCTTCGAGTGAACCTGTGTCTGCAGCTCACGCGTGGTCTAGGCCCACCCACAGGGGCGCACGACACGCCCCTACCGTTTGCTCTACCTGCTGGGACAGGTATGAGCCGGGATTTCAGCTGGCTTCATCCAGACGGTGACCGGGCGGCGGGTGACTTCGCTTGAAAGTCACAACGCTTTTGTGTACAGTGTTCTTGAACACCGAGATGACGGGGGGGGGGGGGGACGGGGCGAAACAAATACAAATACACTTGGTCATGCGCATGACTGAAACATCACAACTGCCATCCCATAGATCCCTGTTCGCCTGCGGACTGGCATAACAACAGCTGTTTGCGAACCTCTATTTAGAGCCACGTGGTGCACGACAGGGGTTGGTGGAGACAACACCGTATCGCCTGGCTGTCTTTGTCTTCCCTCCGCTGATGTTCAACACGCCGTGACAGACACTCATTTTTAGGCTGAGTTGAACCGAGGGCAATTCATATTGCAATAGCGAGAAATTAAATGAGGAATCATTATTATTCGACTGGGGTGAAGAGGTGATGCAGTGGTTAACACAGTGACTATGAACGTGGCAATCTGTTACATTTGAAAACATGCATTTAGAGTCTTAGGCTGCTATATATGTCCACGTGAAAATCATCTTCGTCGGGCTATCATCAGTGGGCCTTACCTGGTAAAATAAAAAATAAAAGTTTATTTAGTTCGTTTTCTTTTTACGTGACTTTGCCGAAAGAACCGCAGAGTAATTTAGTTAGTTTATTCCATTATAACCATCATCATTCCGCATTGATTGGGAATTGTCTGAACAGTGTGGAAGTGCAGGCCAAAAGGGATTCAGGAACTTCCGCCAGTGATGGTGTAAGAAAGCCACTGCATTTTTACCTTTTAACCTTCACCCGAAACACTTATACGTTACGATATATTAATTCGAAGTGCTGTAAAAGCTTTTTATTAGCAGAGTTTTCCTTCGCTTAATTCGATCATTCGCGATTTTATATTTGCATGCCAGTTGAATATGTTGCGCCTTTTTGTGGATAAACTAATGCAACATGTACGAATCGTCCGGATCAGGGGTAGAACCGAAATAACAAGAGCCATTTTTTTGTAGAATTGTGTAAAAAAAACCCTCAACATTTCAAGAGCCGCAAATCAATGTAAAATACGAGACGGTGGTGGTCACAAATAAATAAGGGTCACGTAGTCAGTCCTTGGAAAGCCCCATGCGGCTTGGGAGACGCAGGTTGCCATCCCCTGGACCAAATCTTTCCAAGATGTGCTTGTCCTCAGAAGGAGCCACACAGACGCTGACAAAGCAGCTCGTGAGAGCAAAAAAAATACCCACATACATTTGCATATTTGCAATCCGTGTATTTTCCCCATTCCTTTGCGTATCATCTCTGAGTTTTAGGCGGCCCTTTGATCAATGTGGATCGTTTTAATAGCAACACAACTTTGTCATGATATTAGATTTTTACAAGAGCCACTATGATCCCCCCGCCCCCCACTACAGACGGACATAGCGAATGGATAAACGCTTTTACAAACAAGGCAAAACATCAAAACATCAGTAACGCTCTTCATATTGCAGACGTGATTGATGTACAGATCAGTTGAACACGTAGGCTTTCGCGACCAATATTATTCATAATTAAAAAGGGTTTTGGCTTTGATCGACATTTTGGCCAGGTCGTGTGCATTTATTAAGACCCTCATGGGCAACTCTGACTAAATTGGCCAGGTTTCAATACGCTAAGGCCCACCTTTAAACTTTACAGTGGACTCTTATACTGGATCATCTTTACAGGAGCGACGTTGTATCATCTCCACTGCCTGCCGTGGCAGGCAGATGATTGGACAGAGCGAATGCATATGTGGTGGTGGTGTTATTGGAACACGCGCACACCAACGCCAGTCAACTCCCATTACTTACCTGATATTGTTGCTACGTGCTGATTAGCGTTGCGTGACAAGGTCTTTATTCAGCAGTGGATTGACAACTGGCTTTTATATTAGCACTATTCAAGATCACTATGATCAGCCATGATCTGTGAACTGTTGGATGGAGGCCTTCTCATACGGTGACAATCTTTCATGGTCGTGCGATGCAACAATCCAGTGTATTCTTATTGCACCACTCCATCTCAACGTGGGTAGATAACTGCTTGGGCGTGTTCCTTCCTCTGGCTGACATTCTGTCTTTAATCTTCACCACTGAGCATTTCCCCTTCTTTGCAAGATTGTCCAAGGCCACGAGAATTTTCTTTTTGCAATCAAAATAACATCCCTAACTTATGTATGGTCTCCAATCCATGCGTTCCTCTAATTTCTCAATTTAAATCCACACGTTAACCCCCCCCCCCCCCTTTCACACCGCCTCCCATGCTTCTTTGCATTTCTAATCAGTGCACCTCAAACAAGATGTAAGGAATGTGCGGTGTAGTCAGCTTCGCTCACCTGCAAGCTAGGTTCAGTTCATGATCAAGATAAACAGGTTGCGAGGTTTTCAGATAGGATATTTTGTGTTTAAAAATACCCTACACAGGCCAACCGCATCCCATGACATAATCAGATGGCTTTAGGAATTTGTTCTTTTGAAAAAGTGGTTCATAATCACACACACAAGAACACAATGTAATTCCATGAAAAGGCAAAGATACACAACATCGTAAATAAGCATTAGACTGCAGCTGCCCTTTTACTGATAACACTTAGGGAACTTAACGGAGCGTCATTTGGCCGGTCAACCAAACACATTGGCACATCTGGTTCACGAAAACTCATGTTAAAGGCTGAACCGATCAAAGGGGTGTCCACGTGACAAACACGTTATGACACCTATACAAACATTTTAAATCGAATACTTGGTACGATGAACATTGCACCCAAGACACACATACATGGTTCATAACATTCTGCACACTCCCAGTTCGTATAGAGTGTGGGATACTCTAAATGTAGCAATATCAGACGTTGTGCAAGTGTGCGCGTGTTTAACTTATCGCTTGTATTTTTTTAGACTGCTGGTATATTTTTTAGTGTTTCCTGAGAGATTGTTCCACGTCAAAGCATCCCGTGAAGCAATCACGGGCGCTGTTGTGGAGAATTTAAAATGACAAAATTAATAAGCGGACAATAAACACGGCCCTGTATTATCCCTTCCCGCCCGGTGTATATGTCTGGTCCCTCATTCGTATACGTGTCACTTTACGGCAGCACTGTGTCTGACGCTCATTTCCCCCCCCCCCCAAAAAAAAAAGACAGAGCGTGGGCCAGTCCAGATGGCACGGCCGATGGCTTCTCACATTTGCGGGCACTGGGCATTGCGTGCGCGGGCCCGATAAGGAACCTCCAAAACTCGGAGGGCTCGGTGTCGTCACGGGTTCGGCTCCAAGAGGCACGCAAGTATAACTTCTCGTCCCAAACACTCGCCCCAAACACTCGCCCCTCAGCAGCGGCCTATCGGGAGCTGTGTTTCACGTCCCCCCCCCCACCACCCTGTTTTTTGTTCCTAATTCCTCAAGCGGGTGACACTTCAGCGCATGCACACACAACACGCACGCACGCACGCTCCACGTGGAACCAAAAGGAGGAGTTTTTTTTTAGTCACCGTAAGATTCTTGTAGAGTACGGACGCAAGACACCGCTATCCAAGTGTCGCTGGTGGGCAAGGGGACTAGGCGAAATGGAACCACGCAGAGCCCCCTTTGCCAGATGTATCGCTGTTTGCGCGCTGATGTGCCTGGGGGTATCTGTGAGCCACGGTAAGAGTTCAACCACAGCAGCTTTGCTTTTTTTTACGTTTCGTTCGACTCGCGTTTTGCAATTAATGTTCCATTCAACGTTGGATACACAAGCAAAGTTATGGTACCTTAATAATAATTTATCTTGCGAAAAATCACAAATAGGATATGTTGTGCCCCACGTATGCGGAGAGGGGCATTGGTATCTACCATGCGTTATATCTATATATCTATTTAAGTGTTGCTTATCAACCTGCATTTGACACAATGTTATAATTATGCATGAATTTTAAGACTGAAACGACTGATTTCATTGGCCTATGTACAATCATTTTAATTTTAGACATCACCGGTACAATTGTGTACAGGCACATGTTTTTGGAAGTTGCTAAAATGATACAATTATTTTAATAATTGATTTAATTTAGCGGGTTTTTTTACACACACTTTTTTGTTTTACAAATTAGGCTTGGGTATGACATTGGTAATTTAAAGTAATTTATTTACGACTGCATAAGTAGTGAAAATGTTCAGCATGTAAGATAAGATTTAACTCATTCAATATAGTCACATATATAAACTAGAGCGCAGTGGTGGAACTGCGCTGTGTGTGCACTGCACTTCGAGTCCAGTGACCTGAGTTTGATTTCTGGCCATGGCTAACATCAGTGGTGAGCGATATCTGAACCAGTGTTGGTTCCCCCTTCAATCAACTTGCACTGAATAGCATGGCGATATAATGGTGTACAGCCCTCATCGTGGCTTAATAAAGGGCTGTAACTTAACATTATTAGAATTACACATGCTGAGATAATATATTATTTAAATTTGTTAACTATGAGTGCGTCATTATTTGTTATAGACAGTGCCTAACTTTGTACACCGCAGCGCAGAAATAGTGATCACCCATAACCGAGACTAACATTTGCACAGTGCTAAAAAGTAAGATACTGTCTGTCATGGTTCCTGATGCCTGATGTAGAAATGTGGAAGTTCAGTCACTGGTTCAGGTCAATGGCGGTACGCGCTGCGTTGGTGTCAATTAGTAACATTTTTTAAATGTAATTTAAAACGTTTCAAGAAAATATCTGGTGTCAAGAACAATTTGCCAATGCATGCACTGAAACATGTTCGTCCACAGGACAATATACTTGAATCCTCTCCTTCATTTGCAAAACCAAGTCCTTTGTACATCCACAGACACCCATTTGCAATGCGTATTGCAGTCTGCGTCACAAGCACGCGCACGCACGCATACGCGCGCACGTTAGTTGTGCCTATGAATGTTTGGCCATTCGCCACGACTAAAATAGTCTGGCTATTTGGCGACAGTCGGTGATAATTAACAAGGGTCACTTTTGTTGGGCGATGTTGTTTGTTGCACTCCCCTTTCCACCGCCGCAGCGACAGCACAAACGCAGGCGAGCACCACGCCGAGCGCGAGTCCCACGGTGTCATCCGCAAGTGACCAATCGCCAATGAGTAAGCTGGATGGCATGAGTTTTGTATTGAACTTTTTTTTTTTACAGTTTATTTCTGGCGGAATGTATACAATTTGTAAGAATTGTCATTTTCGTGTGATCATGTAGAATGTTCAACGTTACATTTGAATCCTCAACGTCATTTTCCTGTCGAAGCTGCGTCAAGCACCGTCATTTTGAAGAAACGTGATGCCACTTTTGGTGGTAAAAGCGTGGAAGTTACGCCATATAAGTGACTGTGATGTCACATGTAACCCTTTCGGATTCATCAATTGGAAACCAAACATAAATTGAGATCATCCAAAGTTTTGTATCACAGGCGAAATTTCTTATTTTTTTAAATCAGAAAATTGGGAACACATCCCCACGGTATATATTTTATACCGAGCGTTCTATGCTTGGGTGTGGCAAAATGCACGCTAGATAGAAGACAATCATATCGTTACCCATGTATCGATAGTTAACATTTTCACGCACAATTTTATTGAGGGATTCCACTGCTGTGTCTTGGTGTGGTCTTGGACTATTTTTGTTTTCCTGCCTGGCCCAACATTGCATTTGGTGTCGAAAAAAATCAGAAGGAATGTATACTTATATTTGTACTTATATACTTTATTTATTACTTAGTGACTTGCTTAGCTTCCCCTATACTTTGCACTCCTGCCGTAACTTTCTGACCCGCCCCTAACTGGACATCCGTGAAAACGAGTTTCATAGCTCATCGGATTCTTCCAGTGTAAATAAAGATTCTGAATCAATTTGTTTAGAGTTCAACATTGACAGCGTCGTGCCATCCTCCTCACCCCTGCCCCCCATATTCCAAGTCTTTGTAAGCCCCCCCCCCCCCCTCCAATAAACAAGGCCACGCTACAGGGTTGATGTAAAGTCAATTGGACTACTGTTGTTCTCACGTATTGCGTTTTCATTTTTTAGGTACACTGGCAGCTGCAAAGCCGTCAGTGCTCCCGACGGCGAACACTTCACGTATGGCGAACACCTCTCGGCATAAAAATGACATTTTAAACTATAATGCCTGTAAGCAAGTATTTCCAATTGAGGGTTTGTCTTCCTTCGAAAGGGCCCACAAGTCCAGACAAACAGACAGCCCAGTCACACACCTCCAACGTTGATATCATATGAATACTCTTTTTTGTTCAAAAGCATTAGGATGTACGGCCAATATCATTAACACGAGTTTGCCATGCGGTAGGAAACCAGAGTGCCTCGAGAAACGCCATGCACACAAAGGGGGTTTACACTCAGCACAGCCATTTCCTGGTCACATTTCACAGCCCCATGCCTACAACGCTGAGCAAGCACGGGTGGCCCACCAATCTGATCTGGTCAGATTTGGCTTTCCAAATCTGGCCAGATCAGATGCATTCAGGGTGATTTGGCAGCAGGCATATGGGGTCTGCCTGTGTATTGTCCAAATTGCGTACGTATAGCTTTAATATTTCAGCCGATGATATATATAAATGTTAATTAAGTACATCGCATCAACAAGAGTACATAATAGGATATATACATGCACTTTAGGACACAAGGCCCATCGATAGATATGCGGGCCCCCAGTGCATAATAATGTTGGCTATCTCCCATTACCATTGTTTAAAGGCGATAATTTTTTTCCCAGGCACATATTGTACCCAATATAATATTTACTAAGCAAGTTGCTGAAATATGAACTGCAACGTTTTCGATTTCTCCGGTTTTGTTTGCTTATTTGCCACCATTTTCATACTTTAGTAATGTGCATCACATTAGATGTGAGTCATTTAAAATTCACTCTACGAGGCAATTAATTTTTGCTTGCAATTTATGATCTCCCAACGGAGCGTTGTACCCCGTTTGCCCCTTATCACTTGTCAGGTTTGGTAATCATATGGTCCCTAAAGTAGGAATATGCATTTCAGATTTTTTTTACGTGTGAGGACACATTTTGATTCAAAGTGTAAAGGTTGTGTACATTATAGTTCAGAGTTAATTGTATACGTATGCTTTCATGACCAATGATATGATTGATAGTTTGCTTATTTTTGGTTAGATGGTGTAATTTTCCTTGTTGTTTCAACATTCCTCCCATTTGGCTTAAAAAAGAACGATTCAATTTCGCACATTTCCCTGCGTGATCGCTTAATTTGATTGGCTCTGTCACGTGGTGGAGAATTATGATTAAACACATTTACATTAAACCTACACGATCCAACGCAAGTTAAACGAATTATAAATGTGAGTTTAGAGCTCTGCGTTGACACATTAAAGATGGTGTCTGGAGTTTTGAAACATACATAAAGTAGGAAACACCAGTTTTAAAAGCACATCCGTTCATATGCCAATCAAAACCACGTACACCACAAGGAGTATTTGTTCAGCACACCTGCTTCAGTAGGCAGCTTTGAACAGGAAAGGGAATCGAACGGTGCCCTTTTATTATTTGGCCACATATACATATATATTGCATCAAGTGTGTAATTTTAGCCAGGCGCCTGTTGCCACACGCCCGAATTTAGAACTGTTGGCGGATCTCTCCTCCATGCGCGTTGAGGTTCCCATCTCCTGGCTCTGCCAGCGCATGATGGCAGTACAGAAAGTGGGTAAATTTCCATCTGTAATCCATATGTATGGGAATGTAGTGTTACCCCCCCCCCCCCCCACCTTGCATGCGTGGTTACTCCGGATTTCTCCCATATATAAACACTTATTAATGGAGTTATTATGTTGTAGTTTATTACAATTAATTACAGGTTTAGTATTACAAATACGGCATTTGTACAGAATATACCAAAATACTTCACGTGCCGTTTTTGGCATATCATACACACATTGCGTTGGAAACACTACACATTTGTACGTGTCCTGTACACAATGTCTCTCAATTTCACGACAAATTAAGCATAAATGCTCGACAGTGGCTGGTTTCACTTAAATGTTGTTGTTATACTTTGGGATGTTTACACCTACCTTTGTTGCAAACTTCACGGTACAAATCTTGACTTAAAGCTTTCGTGACGGCAGGAATACATATTGTATGGGTCTTTCGGTAAAGTCACGTAGATAGAAAAATTATATACAAAAATATCACAACGTTTCGATCACAACACAAGCAATCGTCTTCTCACCTGAAGATGATTACTCGTGTTACGATCGAAACGTCGTGATATTTTTTTTTTAAATAAATTTTCTATCTACGTGGCTTCACGGTACAAGTAGTGCCTTTTTTAATACATTTGAGCTCGATGATCGTACGTGTGCTCTTGTCACGTTCGTGTTGCAGGAATTACCAACGCACCGATAATGATGGCCAATTCTAATGCCTCTGCAGCCACTCAATCTCCATGTAAAATACACACACACAGACGTGCGTGTGCATATTCTTACTTTTAAGCTCTATGCCCAAGGGCGAACCCACATGGCTCAATTATTCGTCCACCTCACCGCACACTCACTCCTCCGCATCACTTTTGCGACATCGCAATCCACACAAGGTAGGGGTTCTTGGACCATGACTTAAAGAGGTGGTTTCAGTCCTGGTGGTTTCACCTTGCCTTGATCAACGGTGTTTATTTGGCGACAGCGCCATCGCCATTTGCAGGTGAAAGTCACGCTGAGCAGCACAGATACGCGTTACGTGTTCGCAATGTACACACAGCTTGATCCATGTATAAAAAAATAATTACTGAGACTTTATAGAGAAAAGGTGTTTTGTTTGAAAGCCCCTAACATGTCTCCCACCAATCTCAAGGCACTTTGTAATGAAACAAAAACGTGACCTGCCCACCTCTGCAAGGTATAGAGGCATCCCTTTTACAATGTTTAATGAACCGTTGAGGCGAAAAAGTGTCATCTCGTCATGAGTGGATCAGTGGGGTGTCTGCGATTGGATCACACTCTGCGTTACACGTACTTGTATGCTTGTCGAATGATGGTTTAATCGGCCACCACCTAAAATGTATACATTTCGACTCCTCTCATCAGCTTCTGTTTCTACAGCCACAGCGGACAATCTGACCACGATAACCAGCTCAGTTTCACCGAAAGGTACTAATCTTGGTGTTATTTTCAAACTCGCTAAACTAAATTGTTTTAAACAAAATAAAACGAATGATTATAAATGATGAACATTGTTAATTTCATAGTTGCACGTTGGAACGTTAGGCTTGTGAAGAAATGTCAATAAATTTGTGCCGAACGGCGCATGAATGATTCTCAAAGCTTATGCCTCGCGCGCAGATTCTACAACTCCGACGAACAACCAGACCACGGGATCCACGCTTCCTTCACCCGGAGGTATTTCTCTTGGTGTCATTTTCAAACTCACAAAACTAAAAATTGTTTTAAGCAGAAACGAAATAAATCGGACGGTTATAAGTGGCGAACATTGTTAACGTTATGGTTGTACATTCAAACGTTTTGCCCGTGGGAAAAAGACGTCTCGTGTTTAACACGTAGGCTTTCGCGACCAAACCTATCAAAATAAAGCGTCTTTTTTTGGGTTAGATCGCGTAAATATAAATGTGTGGTACTCGAATTGTTGTGTGGGTTTACCCTCAAACACACCGGTTTGCTGAAGGAGCAACTAATTGGCACGTTTTGTTTACGTGACAAACCTTACGAATTGGCTCTGTCGGGTGATGGCGGGTTTAACGACACATCTATATTTACGCAATCCAACCCCCGCCCCCCCCCCCAAAAAAAAAACCTTTATTAAAGACGTCTCGGTCAACGCTTGCAGAACAACACGCGAATGATACTTAATGCTCTGCCACGCGCCTGCAGGTTCTACAGTCGCACCGAGCAACCAGACCTCAGGACCGACCGCATCTTCACCCAGCGGTATTTACCTTCGCTGCGTTTTCCACGCACAAAAACAAATAAATGAAACGAAACTCACGGTGGAGTATTTTAACCATTGTAAAATTTCTTCACGCTTGCTCCTTTAAAAGTTGCGCTTGTTACAGTTGTCCGAGTATGCGCGCGTGTGAAGCAGCGCTCACACGCGTATATAAACCATGCTACGTGTGCCAGGTTCTACGCCTGTGTCCACAACGTCCGGACCGAGCACAGGACCGACCCCATCTGCTTGCGGTATTTCCCTTGAATTCCGTTTTCCAAACTCGAAAATTAAACAATAACTTAAAGAAAAGAAAATGTATCTAAAAGGTATATTACGCGACTCTAGCGTGCCGCAATAGTGAATGAACGTACACGAATGCCAGCTGGGATACGGAATATTAAATAACACTGTGCACTAACAAGTCCATTCCTTTGATAATAACTGAAAATGTATAGATTAAAAAAAACTGACAAATAACTTTTTATCTCAGTATTAATAAATACTTGAATATGTATATGTTTTATATTTTTTTTTATTTTATTGTTTCCCTTCTACGTGACTTTACCGAAAGAACCAAGAATATGTATATCCATGTAAAACATTGTCTATGTATTGTGTTCTTGCATCACACTCAACATAACAGTATTTTAAAACACTATTCTGTAGAAAATATTCAATGATATATATTTACAGTACATTACTCGATGCCATAAAACATAACGTTAGATTATAATGAGTGCCAATATTCATACACATTAAAAACAATCACACCATATTACAGTAATTATGAACAGGTTAATATTTTGTTTCGGAAAATGTTAATAATGTTGATAATTGGATTCATTGTCACGTTGACTTTGATGTCTACTTCATAAAATATTGTGAAAACGAAATTTGTGGCTGAATTACTAATTAGCTTGACTTTATTACAATTGTAATTTGGATTTATATAGCATCTCAATGTGACTGCATCTCTCGTCACTGTACAAAAACAGTGGCCTTGTCTTTTTTTTCATCGAGAAAGGCAGTCTAAAACCCAGTAAAGCTAACTGAGCTATTAGCTTTTTTTCAGAGGCGACCTGGCCACACATGATAGCTCACTGAAGTGGCGTGTCGTATGTAAAGGCAATTTACAGTCGCAGCCCAAAAATCTGAAAGCATGTTTCTAAATATTGAGGGTAAAACCGGAGGACCCAGAGCAAAATCCACACTACCACGGGGAGAACATGCACACTTCAAATCTACAGGTGTCATGGTCAGGCTCAAACCACTTGCGTCTTTAAAATGGACTTCTTGAGCCTGGACTCGAATGACTGGAGGTTAATGTGACAGATGTTTGGGAGAAGGGAGTTCCAGACGACATAGTCTGCAGAAAAGAATGAGTGACCACTCTTTAAATGAAGCTTGATTAGAGGCTTTGTTATAAAGCCTCGATGACTGAATATTTGGTTGGCGAAACTGATTTTAACATAGAATTTTCAAACAGTTTTGATCACACAGTAGATGTGAGTCTATAAAATAATTCACAATAGTGAGTATTTTAAAATTAGATAACACAATACTAGTTTACACTCAGTAAAGCATGGTTCAAATTATCAATCACAGCCTATTCAGCTGTTTAAGCATTTCCAGGTCACAAGGAAAAAATATGTGTTTACGCTTTTTATCCATATATATTTAAAAATCACGAATGTATAAGTCGTCTCATGAACAAATGCCATACAGTATTTACAAAAAAAGTTACACTTACAATTTTTTTTATACAGAGCAACCAACGGCTTTTCAATGTCACCGTTTCACCGACGGTGCCAATTCTCTCATCTTGTGTCGCTGGGAAGGAAATCCACGTGACACGTGCCCTGGGTACACGGTGCACTGTGCGGCAAATACGACATCCGTAGGTATGTGAACGAATTGTTTTGCGGGCGCAGTGATCAACGCACTGCACCGTAAACCCAACGAATTGACTTGAATATTGAACAGGTGATATCTGAACCGGACCCATTCACCCATGCCCAGCACCAGCGTGGTGAAGTATGGTAAAACAATCCCCCGTGACTGACACAGCATTGGAAGGTCTTCATCCGGCAGTAGATTGACACAGATCTGTGCAATATTATAATTTGACGATATATTGATTGAGTTTCTGATAGTGCTTAATTGCTTAGAACGGACCAGCAGGTCGTTACATTTTCAGAAGTGTATAATTGAAACATGATAACATAAATGGTTCCTATATTTCATATCATATTTGTATAGCTCATACATTTGCAATATAATATAGTTCTACAATAATTTGTACTGTGTAGTGTGTTAATAATAAATGTAAGATATATTTAAAATAGCTGGTAAACCTAGCGTGTATTTTCAATGTATTTTAAATGGGTTTTTCTGAATTTATTACACATTTAGAAAATAATATAACAAATACTGTATATACATATATTGCCCATGTATAGAACGTGCTTATTTGTTAAATATATTGAAAATGTACTTTTATTTCATATGGGTTCATAACTTGTTGATTAAGTCTGTTATCGGGCAGGGCTATCATTCGTGTCATCTAAACTGGTCCAAGGTCAGCCTTACCCTCCACGAAAACAAAGATCCCCCGTGTAGCCTTGAAATACTGTTGGGACAAGTGCTGTTCGCGAACACTTTCGAAGGCTGATACAGCACACGTGGGGGTGGGTGGCCAGCACCACGTCCGGCTGCCTCTGTCTCCCGAGTGGCGATGTTTACACATCGCACCATGTGTTAAATTGAGGCTGAGTCGACCTAGGGGAGGCCCAGGACTGGTTTGACATAATTGTCAGCTGGTGTTGGCCGTGAGCGGGAATCGAAGTCAGGTCACCGGGTTCGAAGCGCAGCGCGTGAACCCTTATGTCAGCGCTCCCCTCCACATACCAGCGTGGTGAAGTATGGTCAAAGCAATCCCCGTAGGGAGGCGCTCATCCAGCAGTGGATTGACATTGGGTTGCACATTATTAATCATTATAATTTTGGGTTCATATGGCGATTGCTTTGCTTTCATTTGACCTGTAGGTCCAGCACGGTGCTGACGACTGTCATACTTAATTATTGTCGCGTATTTTTGGTTCCTGCTGTCACAACTAGACGTGGCTTATTTTTTTGTTACATTAAGTTATTGAATACTTTTTGTTCACTTATCAGAGATCATTGCGATATATGACCATGAATTGCATGTTTCATATAAAGTGTACCTGATTTTCCTTTCTGTGTTCTTTGTGTTATTTTAGGCCAACCCCAGTCCTTTACCAATACTGCAGAACACATTATCCTTTTTCAGAATGTACTAAATGACATCAACTACAGATGTACCTTGAATACTAGCAACTACCCTGAATCCATTTCTCTTGTGACAAGAAAAACATCCGGTATGTATACATGTTGGCATACGGGATATTCGTTGAACCATTGAATAATGAATGTTTTGCTTTATTGGAAAAATGACGTACCAATTCTGAGTCGGAGAGTACTGCACTGCAAACATGTCGCAAGTCTAGCTGGATACAACTATGAACACTGACGTGGATCATTTTATAATAACAGATTATTATCATTTGGGTGCCGTGTCATCCTGATAAATATATCTTCAAGCTGAAATAAGACCATGCAACTTAACTTGCTGACGACGACCGCTTTATTCGAGGGATTATGATATAAACTTTTTGCCTGTGTTTTTTTAAAAAGGAAATGTCAGGAATAATATTGCGTACCTTTTGCATTAAACAACGATTCCCTCCAAATGTGTTTTTTTTTCCCCTTCTATTTACAACCTTAAAAATAAAACAAAATATATTGTTGCTGAGCACAGGTCCAAAGTCAGTAACAAACAGCACTCGCAATGGCGTAAAAGAAAATAGTTAATAGGTTTATTGAATTGAGCACGGTTCTAAGAACCTGAGAAAAGAGACCATGTGAGGCAATTCTAAAAGTCTGTGGAGCAGTACCAGGGGATACGCAGTTTAAGAGTTGTGACCTGCAGTGTTGGTGGTTGAGCAAAGTTGTGGACGAGATGAGACATTGGGTGGAAGAATGAATGAGTGAAGTTCAAGGTAAGCGTCAACATGGTATTAGTGATAGAAGAGTTCGTCAGGAGCTGTGTGCCAGTAACCGGATTCAATGTTTGAACAACCTGAACGTAAATTAAATGCTTTCGGATCATCGTATTCGATAATGTGTTTATATTTTGAGTTAAAGCTTTCGTGACTGCAGGGATTCATATTATTGGTTCTTTCGGTAAAGTCACATAGAAGGGAAACAATAAAATAATAAAAAATATATATTGTTATATAAATATATGTTTGATATTTTTATAATTTTTTTGTTTCCCTTCTACGTGGCTTTACCGAAAGAACCAAGAATAATGTGTTTATATTTTGCCTTGTACAATGATTATCTGAGACAACGTGTAATTTAAGGGTGTATTCGTAGTGTTTGACTATGTTTCACTTTCAATTGCACTCTGTTTTTATTTTCTATACTTGTGTTTTTCTTTGCTTTTGTAACCCAGTTCTCCTTTTGAGAAGATACGATGTCTTCGTGGCTCATAACGTGGTTACGAATTTTTTTGTGTTTGTCCATCTGACCAATACGTGTGTCCTTTTAACATTTTGCTCTAGGGACCTTCAAAGTTGCAGTCGTTTTCAAGAACCTCCTGGGTAATGGAAAAGGCAAAGTAATACGACGGACTGATGCACTCGAATTCAAAGAAAATGAATCCGGACATTACGAGAAAACCTTTGAGGTATGTAACCGTCCGGGTTACCGGATGGTTTACAATACAGATTGAATCTATTTAAAAACGTAAATTCCTTTATTTCACTCTCGTGAAAGGGCCTCGGCATTCCATGCATGGATGGGTCCTCAACAACGTAAAATAAAGAATGAACATTTGTAATGTTGACGTTCATTTTTCTTTGGTGTTTTAGACAAACAATCGCATGGAATGGGAAAATAAAACATTCACATTTGTGCTGGAGGCTGGTGGTAAGTAAACTCATGTATTTTTAATGTATGTATTACGCTTGTCTGCCCAGAAGAGCCTAACTGAGTGAGTCTCACGACTCCTTTTCAGGAGGGTCCTGCCAAGTTATCGCAGTGGGTGGGTGGGAGCAATGATTGCTATTTATGTTCCAACTGAGTTCGTCTTGCTGGACGTTTTTCAAATTAGCCAATTTCGGACCACGACGTCAGCACGCAACGGACGACTCTCTTGCGGAGAGGACTTCACGGGGTCTTTAGCGTTCACTGTGACACGGATGGCGCGCCGTCTTTTTTTGTTCGCGGTTAATACAACCGCCGGAATTAATTTGGGGGCGGCTGGCTTCTGGTTTCTGTACCGTGGACCTCGGAAAAAAAGAAAACGGAAAACGCGGCTACTGCTGGCCCCACGTCACCGCCATATTTAATTACGGACCATCGCATAAACTTTACGCTTTTAGCATGGACACAAGTAGTTATTGTTGTTGCGTGTAAGAATATTTGTACTCATCTTCTTTGGTTCTTTCGATAAAGTCACGTAGAATGAGAATAAAATAATAAAATAAAACAATAAAATTCTCACGACGTTTCGGCCACAACACAAGTGGCCTTCTTCAGGTGAAAGGAACAAACCTGTCGTCCCGACAGGTTTGTTTCACCTGGGGTAACATACGTGAGACTCTTCTTTGGTTCTTTCGGTAAAGTCACGTAGAATGAGAATAAAATAATAAATTAATACAATAAAATAACACAATAAAATTCTCACGACGTTTCGGCCACAACACAAGTGGCCTTCTTCAGGTGAAAGGAACAGACCTGTCGGGACGACACAGCTTCAATGAACGTTGGTAAGATTCGTGACTTTACCGAAAGAACCAAAGAAGATGAATCCTTGCAGTCACGAAAGCTTTACATCGAAATATTTGTACTGTAATGGAGCGTATTTTGTCAAATGCCTCATCGAGTTGCGGGATCTCTGTGGGTCTGGGTGTTTCCACTGCGTTCTGAGTCATCAGCTCCTGGAAATTATTGCACAACGCGGCAAGACGCTGTGGTCGGAGAGCATTCAATGCGCTAAAGAGTCCAAATGCCGAAAACTAACGAGGTTGTCTCGGTGTGCTTCTGCCATCAGGCAGGGGGCTTAAGATGCAAACAAAAGTTCCGCAATTTAAGTGCCAGGATCCTGCCACAGTAGTGTAATGGGCAGCGCACTGAACTTGCGATCCAGAAGTCGTCGGTTCAATTCGATCTCGTAGCGTGGCAGTTGCAACAATGGCGCAAGTTTATATCTACATTTTTTCAATAGACCCACCGGCTCTTGTCTCACTCGGCAGTACGTTAAAGGACAAACGGGCACGCATTTAGTCAATCAGACGGCAAGTCCGCCTATGGTGGGGTAAAGTGTGGGCACTCCCACCTCTTACAAAATGCCTGGCCACCGTGGAGGAGTATGCTGATCTCCTCCTCTCTAAGTGGAGGCCCTTATGCCAGCAATGGCGTGAGCAAAGCAGTTGCAGGGCTGCACCTACACCCTTCGGGTGGCACAACAATGAATGAACGGGAAAAGTTATAAATCAACAGTTGCTGTCTATTAAAGATGCAGAATTTATCATTTAAGATGAATATTAAAAAAAACGTAACGATGTAATAAACAACCGCCAAGTGCAGTATGATATATGGTAGCCATGTATTGTACTTCCTACATCGAGCTGCGTCGGATCAAACGTGCATTCATGATTTCATCGGTTTCATTTCAGATTCTGGGTTAAGCAGCGGACAGATCGTCACGATTGTGTTGTTGTTGGTCATAGTCGTAGTCTGCCTGATTTTTCTACGGAAATTCTACCTGAAAATCAGAAAGCTTGAGAGGTGAGTACGGTGCACAAATGCAACCCCGCGGGGGCAGCATTACCGGCAATTTCACGATATCACGATCCCTTCAGCTCAACGTATTCTCTTGCGCTCATTACGCAGAGCGCTTGCCACAAATCAACCACGATACCTTGCTGATCGCGTAAAGGAGGATGAACCATCGCACGCGGACCCCGGTCATCCTAGCAGTGGATTTTGGAATGCCCATCGAATGAAGACGGTCACCGCGTCGCGCGTTTTCAGATGCCCTTCCGCGGCCTTCTAGAACGCTCGTCCTTCCAATATTAGGAAGCTACCGGAGCTATGCACTTTTAAATGTAGATTGGAAACTCGCTTCTTTAGAGCTGTTTTTTTTTGGTATGTACAATGTTGTCCTTCCCCCGCACCTCCGATTAGCACAGTTGGCTACGTATGGTGCGAAAGAAGTTCAACATGCATACAACTTTGAAAGCGTATTTCGATTTGTTTTTTAGCTTTTGTACGTTGGCGTATTACTGTCAGCAGGAAATTAATAATGAAATATATTTTTTCATCAAGCCGACAAATTAATAGAACTCTGTCGTACTTCCAAGGACAGCTTAAGATTGGTTAACAGCTATCCAAACGTACTTCACTCAACATAAGCCTGCCACAAGTTGTTGCAATTCTACAATCTCTATCGCTTAAAATGCACATGCTGTCAGTGAAAGATGTCATATTGTCGACATCACTTATCGTATTGTACTCCGCAAAGCATTGTCCAAATCTCTCGATATTTTTTTTCTTTAAGAAATGTATTGTTGCAAACTTAACTTATTTCCGCATTGTTATTCCTTAACTATTTTGTGTCAGCGTATGAAAATCAGTGAACAAACAACAATGTTCACAGTGTGACGATATTTCGCGAAACGCACGACGCGGCTATCGTGGACCGTATAAATTGTATATCATGGCATCGTCATATCACATCGACTCTTGCCCACACTCCAGTAAGTTATCTTACACAGGGACGGTTTTGCTAATTGGGCAGCCACAATGGAAATGTTTTTTCGGAGAATTAGCCCTCCACTGCAGAGTCAGGATCAACGTGAACAACAACAACAACACGAGTGCTCTATTGTGCAACTTTGCTATGCCCTGATTCCCAGGTGAACAAAAAAAATACTGCAACTAAATTAATCACAGGTTCCAATTACGAGCCCCGATGTTGTGAGAGAGAGAGAGAACAAAAAAAATGGGCCTACAATTGCTTCCCCACCTATACTGTGTAATTATAAGATCAATGTAATTAATAACATTCCATATGAAATATGTATCCACACTCGTGGATACATTCATCAGATTTAAAATAAAAACCACGCCGATCGTGTAATTATTATTTATATTGTGTGTGCGTGTGTATTTTATCCTCACCACTGTTACCAACGTAGTGTATGTATGTTTTTTTGCTATCCGTAGACAATACAACAATGACGAAGGGGTGTGCTTGCTACCAAAAGGCATCCGCGGTGAGAGTTTTGAGGAGTGGGTTTATTTTGTCGATTCATATTTTGACGCTTACAAAAATATCACTGACAGAATCGGTGTTTTCTTGTGTATTTCATAACCGTCGTGTTTACATCTACAAATTCCGTCTGCACACCAAATTTGCAAACATAACATTACTTTGTAACCAACATTATTATCCTTTATATTCAACACGTATCTTTTTTCTGCTGAGAAATAGTTCTGACGAAACATATCCATGGCTATATTTTCACAGTAAATGTCGAAGATTGTACAAAAATCGAAGGGAAATACTTGCCAAAACTATCCTGCTCTTGATTTTTTAGCCGTTACGAAACTACTAGAAGCACCATGCATTGCTTGTCAACGTTAATAGTCTCAATAAATAATGTACAGCTCTCTTGGTCAATGCGATTCTGGATGAATGATTTCACAGGGGTTATTGTTGGCCGAATGTTCCCAAGCTGGTTCGCGAGTCCTGGTGAAGGAGAGGGTCCAGGACCAGTTCAGAAATGATCCGCCACCAATGTTACCCATGTCCGGGAGACAAACACAGGTCACCGACAAACACAGGTCACCGTGTTCACAGTAGAACACGCTGCCCACTGCATGGCTGCTCTATCCCTGCCATTATTCTAAATAAAATAAGTCATTGGAGCCATTCTCAATCCAGCAAATGATGAAGCAGGCTTCCCCCACACAATGCAAGTCATGCAGGAGTCTTTGCAATGGCGGAGCCAGGATTTTCAGGTAGGGGGGGCAACCCCTCCAGCAATGAAAAATGATAGAGGAGTTGTTAGTAAGTAAGGAGTTGTTAGTAAGTAAGGAGTTGTTAGTAAGTAAGGACTTGTTAGTAAGTAAAGAGTTGTTAGTAAGTAAGGAGTTATTAGTAAGTAAGGAGTTGTTAGTAAGTAAGGACTTGTCCCTTGCTTTTTATTTGACGCGTGTGCGGCGATGGCCCAGCCATCGATCGAGGGTCGGCATCGCGCTCGCTGACGGTGAATGCCTTCAGGGAAGTCGTGTACTGTATACGCAACTGCGCTCAATTCTGTGAGTTACCTAGAACCGATTTGCCGGTACTTATTGGCAATTATGCACTCAGACTATTGTCCTATTATCTCATAGAGTCCCTGGCACGTAATAATATGCTACACAGTGGCAGTGGGGGTCGCAAAATGTCGATTTATTACTAATAAACCCCCATGATCCGATCGAAATTCGGGATTTCGATCGGATCATTGGGGGGGCACGTGCCACCCCACCCCCCCCCCCCCCCCCCCCCCACTGGCTCCGCCAGTGAGTCTTTTGTTTGTTATACTTCACCACGCTGGTCAGGAGGGGTTGGCGATGGGTGACGAGGTCAGGACCAGTTCTGATATCACTTTCCACTGATGTTAGTCACGGCCTAAAATCAAACTCGGGTCGCGGGGTTCATAGCGCAGCGCGCCAACCACCGCACCACCTCTCCATCCCTTTCATGGCAGAAATTCCATTAGTGCTGACATTTTGGTGACAAAGGCTGAACACTTGTGATTGCAGGGTTTCAGAAGGAAACTATCGTCAAGGAATCGGCTCCAATCCCCGCAAAAGTGTTGCGCCAAACTGTACAGACCAAATCCGCGTCGGGCTCCAAGCTGTTTCAGGAAGAGTTCAGCGTGAGACCAAACACCTGACACCCTTCGGGATGACGTTTTATTATTATTATTAGAATGTTCTGAATATAAAACCCAAAATTGTACTTTCTTTTATGACACCTGCTTACCGAGGAAAGCCTCACCGAGTCTCGGGAGGGTCCTGCGACGTTTCCGTTGTAGGGGGTGCGATGCTGTGATGCTTAATCCAAATTTTGTCATTTGCAAAGTAATTATTCAGCATTGAGCTGTGCACTTTTAAATCTAGATTGGAAACTCATGTATTTAGAACTGAGTTTTGTATTTAGAATGCTGCCCTTCACCCGCACCTCCGATTATCACGGTTGGTTATGTGCAGTGTGAAAGAAGTTCAACATAGATACGGATGTTTGGCCAATAATAATGACCTCTATTTTATAAAGCGCCTTTCGCATTGAAGTATGTCAAAGCACTGATACAAGTTACATTGCGAATATATCTTTGCTCGGGGAGGAAATCGTAGAACCTGGAGGAAACCCTTGCAGAGCAGGGGGAGAACGTACAAACCCCACTCAGAAAGGCACCTGAGTCGGGAATCGAACCCAGGTCCTTTTTGCTGAGGCACAATGTTATCACTCTGCAACACTGCTGCCCGTGTGGTTTCTAAAGAGTCACAAGCAGTTATATATTTTTTTCTCTCACATATTCAGATAAAGTAAATACTACCTCCTTGACGTCCACCCCCAAAAAATATATTGCTCGGAAAGCATAACAAGTGTGTGGTCCCTGGCCGAATGTTGTGCAATTTCTGCAATGCCGATTATTCACTGTTGTAGTTAAGACAACGGTTTGAGGAAGCAAGGTGATTGTAGGGTGTTTGTATTCGCAGAATTTTCCACGAAAGATAAATAAGTACTCCCAGCAAGAGGCAACTCAGGAATACAACACCAAGAAGAACCGCTACTCAGACATTCTCCCGTGTGAGATACGCACCCATACCAGTGTGCTTTCAAAAACTAAATATCAAGCATCACAGAAAATGCCTTATTGCATATGCACCCAATGAAATAAAATATTGCCGTTTGTGAAATGCAATGAAACGCTTCGATACGTTAACAGCCACGGAGACGTAAAACAAAAAAAAAAACCCGTAATATTTAACTCGGACATTTGCAATAACCGAACCGATTAAGCGCTTATTCGCTATCAATTGTCTTAGATGATCACAATCGAGTGAAGCTGAGCGGTGAAGGAGAAAGCGACTACATTAACGCAAGCTACGTTGACGTGAGTGCGGTCGCACGCCTGCGAGCTGACAAAGCGAGTGTCGCGATATTCGGGAAGGCGAGGGCCTGGACTCCTGCCGTTTGCCGACGAACTCACGCTCTTTGAATTTCGTTCTGTGGTGCAGGGCTACAAGTCGTCCATCAGATACATTGCTGCGCAAGGTGGGGGACAGTTTATTATCGCCGACACGTGAACACGCACTCAAAGGCGCATGTTCGCCACGGTTCATTTTTGCGCGGCTTCAGCGTGAACAAATTATTATAACGCGCGCTTGCTCTGTGGTGCGACTTTCAGGTCCCCTAGAGAACACCGCGGGTGACTTCTGGCAGATGATTTGGGAGAAAAAAAGTTCCGTGATAGTCATGGTAACCAAATGCGAGGAAATGGGAAAGGTATGGCTTACAACGCAGGCACGTGCACATGCACGCACACAAAGACAATACATCGCACGTTCGGTCTTATAGACGATTTGGGCAATTGTTGTAAGTGAGCACTTAGTAACGCTGCCACGAGAACAATCTTCTCGAGTGTCATTATGCGTAAGTGTATCACAAACCGAACAAACACAAATATTCCCCATATAGCCTACACAGGCTCTTTGGGCAAGTGCTTTTTAGCAAGCACCTATGAAGGCCGGCACACAGCTTGAGGGGTGACGTGTTTCAAACCCGGCTGCCTTTGTCTCCCCAGTGCTGATGTTTACACAATGCACGCTGCATCGACATTTTGGGCTGAGTCGACCTAGGCGAGGGCCATAACCGGTTCAGATCATCGTCACTGGTGTTGGCCGTGAGCGGGAGTCGAACTTGGGTCGCTGGGTTCAAAGCTCAGCGCGCTGTTAGACTACCGCTCTCCACATACCGAACACACACACAAACATATACATAGCCACACTATTCAACCACACTTCTACCCTCATATTTGCACGTAATTGTCACCCGTACGCACTCTATTATTTCATGTAAGATCTGCTATGCGTTTGCCTATCATAGCTTCACACGCCTCAGTCATTATGCTATTCATATTATTTGCAGGTAAAATGCTTCCAGTATTGGCCACATCCTGACGAAGACAAAAGGGCGTACGGGGATGTGACTGTGACTATCATGGATGAGAAGCCCTACGCAGACATCGTCATTCGAACACTCTCCATATCCCACGTATGATTTGTATTTATACACACACACGGCGCGCGCGCGTGCACGCATGCACACATAAAATAATGGAATGCACTGAATACTGCAGTGATGGAGATAAAGATGTATTGCCGCAGATCATTCAGTTAACTTTAATGGCCACACCTGACATTTCATTAATTCTAGAAAACCTTGGTTGATTTATTTCACCTTATCTATGGAGCAAAATAATAAAAAAAGGGAGTCAAGCCACATTTTGACACGTGACAAATTGACTCGGCGATGCGTTGGCTAGGGTCATGGCGAGCCTACGACATAACTGCTGTGTATGACAATGCACAAAGTGTCATCCAATTTACTAACCAAAGTGTGATGCTTGGCAATGTCAATGGAACAATGTAATGCCATTCCTCAGGGATACTGCTGGGGCGTAATGATCAGCACGCTGGACGTGCAATCCAAAGGTTGCCGATTCGTTACTATCGCCTGGCGCGGCAGTTGAAACGATAATCAAAGTTTCTGAAATCCTCCCGCCTTTGTCCACCCAGCAGCATAAATGGTCAATTGGCAGGTCAGGTGTGGTGGGGTTAAGTGTAGTTAACGCCCACCACTTCCAAGTCATCTGGCCGGCGTAGAAGAGCAGGCCAAGGTAAAGCCGTCAATGGGGGGGGGGGGGGGTCTCTCTGCGGAGTTCACGCCAAGTGAGGCCCGCCCCAGGCCCTCTCCCCTTTCCGCTGGCGGAGGCTCCAGCAAGCAATTGCAGGGCTTGCGCCTTACACGGTGTACCTCTTCGCCGTTTCCCCCCAGAGCAAGCACAGAGGGTTTGGAGCTCACTGGGTGACCCACGTGCAGTTGGTGAGTTGGCCCGACCACGGCGTGCCCGAGGATCCCAACCTGCTGCTCAAACTGCGGCGACGCGTCAACTCGTTCAACGGAGCCGGCTGCACAGCCGTCGTCGTCCACTGCAGGTTGAGTCGCGGGAGACGCCGCCGCTGTTGCTTGAGCACTAGAAAGAAAAAAAAAAACAAATCGAGACGGGCGATATATGGAAGTTTTTTTGTTGTTGTTGTTGTTGTTGTTGCTTCTTTTGATTTAAAAATAAGTAAAATTTCGATTTAAAGCTTTCGTGACTGCAAGGATTCATCTTCTTTGGTGCTTTCGGTGAAGTCACCACGTAGAATGAGAATAAAATAATAAATTGAGATTTTATCGATTTTTAAATAATACATTGATATTTTATCAATTTATTATTTTATTCTCATTCTACGTGACTTTTCCGAAAGAACCAAAGAAGAAAAATAAGTAAAATGTTATCGTCGGCTGAACGTAAAGCCCCAAGGCTTTAGTGAAACAGTGTTTGGAACACGTTGGGATTTTATTACTTCATTTTACATGAAAAAATAGTGCTCGCAACATTTGAAAGCACTTGATACATACAATTAGAAAATATATATTTTATATGTATATTTGTTTATCATTTAGAAGTTTTGGTACAAATTACATTTGTTTAAGTTGTCGTGCTTTTTTTTTAGAAAGTTGTGCATAGAAAAGTTAAACATACATTTCACTCCCGCATGGATCACGACAGCCTGCGTAGGTGTTCACTAACGTAATTAGTTTATAAAGTCTATCGACGGCTAATTATAAAATAATGATTAATTATTATAATAATAAATATTATTATTGCACGTGTTTTCCCCAGGAAAGCCTTATTGAGTCTCAAGACCCATTTGCAGGAGTTCACTAACGTAATTAGTTTATAAAGTCTATCGACGGCTAATTATAAAATAATGATTAATTATTATAATAAATATTATTATTGCACGTGTTTTCCCCAGGAAAGCCTTATTGAGTCTCAAGACCCATTTGCAGGAGTTCACTAACGTAATTAGTTTATAAAGTCTATCGACGGCTAATTATAAAATAATGATTAATTATTAGAATAATAAATATTATTATTGCACGTGTTTTCCCCAGGAAAGCCTTATTGAGTCTCAAGACCCATTTGCAGGAGTGTCCTGCCAAGTTTTTGCAGTGGTGGGGGGGGGGTGTAGGGGGCACGTTGCTATGCGTAATCCCGATTGAATCATTGTCATGCAATCTTTCAGCATTGGGGGTGAGTGCCCAGTAGCTTTTAGTCTGTACGGTTTATATAAAATGTTTTAGCTAAATCGCCGATCATTATTTTGTCTGACAATTCACAGTGCTGGAGTAGGGCGGTCTGGAACCTACATTGGTCTCGACTGCTTGGTGAGGCAGCTGGAGAATGAAGGTCATGTGGACGTGTATGGATGCGTCTTTCGTCTTCGGCACCAGAGACCTCTCATGGTGCAAGTGGAGGTGCGATTTGCCATTTAATTGGTGTTGTGAGATCACCACTTTCATCATCAGCCACAATCAATCCACCGCTGGATGAAGCCGTCGTAATCTCCCACGATTTTGCGAAGTGACAATCTAACCAAGCAACTGCGCACGTGCCAATTTCATCGCTTCATCTTCTCAGCAGACGGTCTGTTGGACGCGTTGCATCCTTTCGCTGCCGCTGCATTATTATTCTTTACCATCGGTCATCATCCCTTCGAGAGATGTGTCCTTGCCCAAGTCGATTGTTCACAGAGAGATGTCTTTAACCTGTGTACGCTCTTTAATCCTTGTGTTAATGCCAATAATGCACATATCCACGATTCTTTACCCACTTGTTAGTTTTTTGTTCCACGTTCTATTTGAATGCCCACGTGGTAGCAAATACAGTATACTGCTGTATATGCTCCATCTAATTGTGAGCTTTTGGCACACCATATATTGATTTTTGTTTCTAAGACTATTTGCACGTACATTACTCTTTGTCAATCCAAATCATTCAGCTATATTTTAGTTTCCCGATGTTTTCCGAATATGCACTTGAACTGATACACAGCATCAAACCAAATGCGTCGATTTATGTATTATACTGGTACTGGTAGGAAACGTAGTGGACTGGAAGCCCAACCGCGATTAATTCACAGGAGGCAGGGGATTAATTGTGTATGTCTGTCCACGTCGGAGGGATGGGGCTGGGTGGAGAGGGCTGGGTGGGGCTGGGTGGGGCTGGGAGGGGGGTGGGAGGGGTGGGGCTGGGTGGGGTGGGGCTGGGTGGGGAGGGGCTGGTCACCCCGTGGTGCCCTTATATGAACTGGAAGCCCAACCTGATTAATTCACAGGAGGCAGGGGATTATACACTGCACTTTCTGGTGCGACATCTTTTACACTGCACTTTCTGGCGTCGTTTTATAATTCTGCTCACTTTTCATTTTGCTTTCTTCTGCGCACGACCCTAACAAGTTTGGCTTAAATATCCGTACATAATTACTTCAAAATTTCCTACCAGCCCCCTCCGCAGGAATGTGTTTATTATTGCATTTGTTTCGCCAAAAAAAGCCTCGCAAACTCTCAAGACTCTCTTTGGCGGGAGGGAGAAATGTTCACTCTATGTACTTCCATTTTTAGTCATTTGCAAATAATTGTTCAGCATTGGGATGATTTCCCAATACCAGCGACATTGGACGATTTATTAGCGATGGGAGAAAACCAGAGAACCCCAGAGAAAAGCCACGGCGAAGAAGGAGGGAATAAAATAGAAACTCCACACAGAGAAAGGCCCGATTTGGAAATGGAACCCAGGCACTTCTTGCTCCGGGGCACGAGTGTTAGACCACAGCACGACCCTGCTTTACAAACTACAGCGCTTGTGTAATCATCAGCGACTGTGTTCGGGTCATCACATTTGCTCCGTGTCAATGCTTTCTGCACTGGGTAAATCGTAATCATTTTTCGTTTGTCAGCCGTAGGCCCTGAAACCAGGGACACACAGATGCTGGCTCAGTACACAGGCACGGTCCATTAGGCTCTATAGCCACCAAGCCATTACATGTATACACGCGTTCGTGTCTGTTATGCTGTACTTTAATTTATAAGAAGTCGATAAAATAAATAAAGTATCCCAAATTACTTAAGTGAGCATATTGCCATAACTACAAACACAGGGCCAATGCAAATAAACACACACACGCAGACATGAGTAACACAATATACACATAGACACGCATGTCACTGATTTAGAAATATTGTACACGTTTAATAATAAGCAAAGACACGTTCAATAAGCACGTGAACTAGGTCAGTGGGTTTTTTTTTGCCAAATTTTCACAGTGGATGGGGCATGACACCACGACTCACGCACAGGGCCGGATTAAGGCACGGGGCTTTAGGGGCTGCAGTTCAGGGGCCTCCGCCAACTGGAGGGCCTCTAGAGATTAAGTGAAAAGTTATTTCATTTGTGAATGCTGAATTTTATTTGTTGTTAGCTTTGTAAAAATAACAATTTTTTTTCTTTAACTTTGTTTTCCTTTTTGAAAATATTACTGGGGGCCTCACAGTACCTGTAGCCCCGGGGCCTACAAAATCTTAATCCGGCCCTGCTCACGCACGCAATATTTTTCCTGGATTTTTCTGTCAGACGGCAGACATACGACGCGTTAAACATGGTTGTACCCTTGCCACGAGCAGTGCACTTGTAATCACAATGCAGGTCCATTCCTTGGTAGCATACACTTGTCTTTACTCATCCGCAAAGGGTAAAGCAATCACAACTCGCAGCTTTTCTAATTTGCATGTATGCAAGGGTACCGCAATCTAAAAAAAAAAACTACTCCCTGTGAAATGCCAGGATCATGCCTCTTTCACTATGCAATTTGAAGAAAATTGCACTGGCATGTCATGTAATTTTATATTTACGTGATTTAATCCCAAAAAAATCCCTTTATTACGAATGCAACGTAATTATTGAGAGTCTCTTCGCTGATTGCAATACTTTCGTACATTCATTAATAGTTTATTCAGCCACATTTACTTACGCTTACACAACCGTGTGCTTTATTTTGAAGGCTGCATTTACTCTTGCCCACTTTATCCTGCCTCTGTGTCCTGTGCATCTGGACAGGTGGCTCAGTGGCAGAGCGACTGGCTTGCAATCAGAAAATGTAACGAGTTCAAATCCTGATTGTTGGTTGACTTATCCCATCGTCTGGCGAATAAAACGAGTATCACTTTGTAGGCATATCAACCAGAGGTTGCCCTATGGATATACTCGTCCCAGCTGTAGCAATGTGTAATTTCCACCCACTAGCTCAGGGTTGTAAACAGGAGATGAGCACCGTCTTAATACTCATTTGAGCATGTCATCCCTTTGACCTTTTGACCCTGTATCTCAAGCAGAGTCAATATGTGCTACTTCACCGGGCACTTCTGGAACATCACCTCTTTGGAAACACCGAGCTGAGCATGGCCAAGCTCCACTCAAGAGTCCAAGGCATGAAGTTCAAGGGTTCCCAGCAAGACGAGTCACCCGTGGATGTCGAGTTTAAGGTTTGACTCATCATCAGGCATGGTCAATCCACTGCTGAATGATTATCTCCCCAAGCTGCCACCATATCTCGCATTGCCACGATGTAAATAATTCATATAGCAGCCGCATGCGAGCGGACTTCATCGATTCCACCTTCCCCAAGGTTTGAGTCCGTCTGTATTTTGTTTTACTCACAATGAGCTAAAGTGCTAATAATTGGTACAAATAGTGGTAGAGTGGTGGCACAGTTTCTAGAACACCGCACTGCAACGAACCTAGTCAACCGTGTTCAATTTCCAGCAATGGTTCACAGTGGTGACATCTAAATGGGTCCTGGGCCTCTTCTTGACCAACCAGCACTGACCAGTGCGGTGAAGCATGCCTATAACACCTGGTTTGCACTGGTAGTCACCAATCCATCCGAGCACTAACCAGCCTCAGTGTTGCTTAGCTTCTGGGAGATGACGAGAGATTGGGTGCATTCAGGGCGACTTGGTTGTAAGCAATAACCCTAAATCCACCGCTGGATAAGAGCCTCCCCATACCATTGGGAGTTATTGTGGACCATACTTCACCACACTAGTCAGTTGCGGGTTGATGAAGATTGGGAGCATCGACGTGGGAGAAAAGTTCAACGCAGCAGTGGGTTTTGCTTTATTGCCCCCTGCTGCCCATAACACAGCCTTATAACTGCCTACACCACGTGTTTACTGCACAGTGGCCATCCATCCAAACACTATCTAGGCAAAACCCTGCTTATTAGCGTCCAAGCTGTGACGAGATCGATCGCATTGCAGGTGATTTGGCAACAGGCCATGAAGAGAGGGGGAAAAAAATGTCCATGTGCCCGAGACAATCAAATGCTCTACACGCAATAACCTAGTTTATGAGTGCACAACGTAAGGATATCTTAGGTCTGCTGGTGCAGTATCATCAACTCTGACATCGGCAGTAGCTCCCCGAGATTCACACAGCCACCGCTGTGGGTTCAAACTTTGTGCTTTGTTGAAATTTGTGTTTCCCCCTGCAGAGGCTGCCAACGTTTGAAGGCACGTTCGCACAAAGAGCGGGCAGGAACAGCAACAACGTCAACAAGAACAGGAGCACGAATGTCATCCCGTGTGAGTCCTGTGGCCACTCAGCCAGTGCACATGCGTGCTGCGAAATAGATTCGTTTGACCGTCGCTTGCCATTGTTGTTGGAAAGCATTAACTGTGAGTGAAATATATCTGTGTCACCAGACGACTTCAACAGAGTGAAGCTTTGGAAGTTTACTCCTTCCGAAATAAATGATGAGAACGATGACAATAATTCTGATGAGTATGAAAGTGACAATGAAAACAGTGATAAAGACTACATCAATGCCTCCTTCATGGATGTGAGTGAAGTTTTTTTGGACACATTCAATGTAAAAAAAAATGTATTCACTGGACTAACGTTGTGCACGCATAAAGTTGGGTGAGAAATCCTCACATTTTCACATGGGCCACTTCAGAATGTATACAGTAGAACTCTTCTAAACTTCCGCTTTGTATGGGATGCACATTGCCATCCTATCATCCATAATTTGTTGACGAACTCCACTTATGTGCAAAAAAAACGTTGCAGATAATAGGCGTCACGATGTAATTTTCTGAAGTGCATGCTAGGGAGAAAAAAAAAATCAGTACCCACAGATTATGGTGTGGATTATCGTTGTCGCAGACAGTTCTACCGTGTCGGTAATGTCCTGTACAGCCTGTGCCTGGTGAGAGCAAAATCTCGTAGCCAACCTGACAATTGTGTCATTGTGAAAGTGGCGGAGGGGGGGGGGGGGGGCAGTCTCACACTGCAGATGCAACCAAGATGTGCTTCTGCTGCCATCTGGAACGATCTTTCTTGCGATATTAGGCAGCCACTGGAGCTATGCACTTTTGCATCTATATTGAAACCTCGTTTGTTACGAACTGCTTTGTGTTTAGTTTGTTGTCCTTCCCCCCACACTTCCGATTAGCATGGTGCGAAAGAAGTTCAACATACATGCGTACGTTACAACAACATGCTAGATGAAAAAAAAGCCATCCAACTTGGATTTATGTGGGGACCCCCTCATGGGAAGTGGTGGTGCTGGCCCATTAGGGCCCCTAAGCAGAAATATAAACTTTGGGCCTTCCCCGCAACATTTATCAACTTCTAGTGAGATAACAAAAGGCATATACGGACAGGATATGGATTTTCGGTGAGATAAGAACAATGTAGATGACAATAGAGATTAAGTGACATGAGAGATGAAGCTGCTTTGTTTCTCATATTCATTAATGTAATTATTTTTTCATGAATCCAAGGCCACTTGGCCTTCTGCTTGGTTTGCTTTATTCCTAGCTCCACCACTGCTCATGGGAGTCTATGAAATCTTCTATAAAGGATAGCGTAGTCATCCAGTTCATTGCAACCTATGGTATTTGCAGTGAGAATCCAATAGGGCTTGGTAATTTGTATTGACCACATTTTTTCTTGCATAAATGGTTGGTGTCATAAGTATTGGTTCATAATTGGTGTATTTTGGGTTACAATGTGCAATATTTATTTTAAAATATTTTATTATAACCCTCCACCACCCAACAAAAGCTTGCTTTATAACATTCCGGTTGACTGCAAAATCAAATCGATTGGCATATGTGCCTGGTGATATCTTGCATCGATTTGCTGTCAGGTGGTGACGGATTATCGTAAGGAAAAGTTTACAGTATAGTACAACATCTAACCCAAAAGTAACCCGTTACGAATCATAACATTGGTCCTGAAAGCCTACTTATAGAATTGCTCTTGGTTGAAAACATGATCTGGAGGCGATCCATAGATGCACAGACTTATGGTTGACTACCGTGTCGCTTATACTTCATTCAAATGTTACATTTTATTGCAAATGTCGTGCACTCATGATGTAATTGCCTTCCATTTTCTTCCATTCAGGGTTATCACAAGCAAAAGAGCATCATAGCTACTCAGAATCCTTTGCCCGACACCGTGTCCGACTTTTGGCTCATGGTGGTCCAGCAAAACTGTAGCCACATTGTCATGCTGTCAGAGCTGTCAGAGGGAGGCAAGGTATGATCATTACAATGGGATAACATTCACATCACATGCATTGTCTTATACAAGGACACTGATGCGTAATACTGTTGTTTACTGAACCCGATGAGGTACTAAGTTTCCAATTAACTTTTTTTTATTTGCATAAGTGCAGTTCATCTGATTGAAGGCTGTTGAGAAATATCGACGTAAAATGTCCTTTCGAAAACAATTGTATCGTCACGGTCAGGATAGCAGTTTGGCGGTTGATCAACTTTTTTTTTCGTCTGCAATGAATGTATTTCGGACGTACTGAGTACATTTTAATTTGAGATAATCTACGCGTAACAAGTGCTATCCAATAATGTAATTAGGACGGCACGAACAATAACAACCCATCGCACGGCATTTCAGGATTGTAAATGGCACGTTACGCAACCGAGGGACGCGCATTTTGAATTATGGGTTGGGGTTATTTCGCTTACTTCTGGTTACACGGAAAGAAACGCCACACAGTTATCAATGCAGAAACAATGTAAGTAAATACTCCACAATACAGTTTTTTTTGGGGGGGGGTTAGACCACGTAAATATAAATGTGTCGTTAAACCCGCCACCACCCGACACAGCCACAAATCTGACTGCCGCCTGATGATGCTAGTTGTGATTACTGGCGAAACGTCGTACTCAGATTGTAAATGCTGTGGATTTACTCTCCAACACACCGGCGTGCTGTACCGGTAACGAATTGGTATGCTCTGGTTTACGTGACAAACCTTACTAATCGGCTGTGTCGGGTGGTGGCGGGTTGAACGACACATTTACATATTAACGCGATCCAACCCCAAACCTCCCCCCTCCCCTTCCCCCTTGCATAATGGATGATATTCGTCGCGAAATTCCCTCTGGCGTGTTAAACGAAGTGAACGCTTTTCACCACTCGTCAATTCCATTGCGTTGCAGGAGCAGTCTGCCCACTACTGGCCGGTGAAAGGAACGCAGAATTATGGCGCCGTCGGGGTGACCGTGAAAAACGTGACTTCCAGACGGGACCTCGTTGTCCGGGAGTTGTCGCTGACTTATGAAAATGTAACGCATCCACGTACACACACGAGTCCCCAAATGTGTGTTGTGCTGAGTGTTAACTCGGGTTGCGCAACACAATGCATGACGAAACAGTTGAGCAAATCATCACGATATTAGTTTCCTGTAAGTTCGTTGTGGTGTTTTGCATTTTTATTGTAGATTGATGGACTTTGCTGTACCTGCTGTGTGAATATGTATTACAGAATATAACTTCAGCAGCAGTTTACCCAACAACACCCGTCTTTCCATAGCGGCAACTTTACAATTCACACTTACAATGCACATGCCTCCATGTATGTAATTGAGAACTAACGACTAAGTAACTCATGGAACTTACAAAAAAATCAGTCATACACTGTAACCGGCATGCCATCAATTACTAATTTAATGGGTAAAAGCTACGAATGTATAACTCTAAACCATATTTGTTTTCGTTCCTCAGCAGCTCTCCCGCTATATTTTTTCACCTGATGACGATTGCTTGTGTTGCGATCGAAACGTCGTGATATTTATTTGATTTTTCTATCTACGTGGCTTTACCGAAAGACCCAAAGAATATGAATTTCTGCAGTCACGAAGCTTTAAGTCAAGCTCCAAATCACTTGTTATTTTTATACGGTACAGAAATGAATATACATTTTTAGTAAATTACCCATGGTAAACAGGATACAATGACATTTTGCGACAAAGGTGATACGGATTATCCTCGACCTTGTAGCTATTGTAGGACATGCCGTGGTATCGTGCGAACCAATTGCCATATTCTTATTCTTGGTTCTTTCAATAAAGTCACGTAGAAAGGAAATAATAAAATAAAACATAATAGAATCAAATTCTCACCAATTGCCAAATACACTGTGGTTTTTGAATAGCAACGCAGGCGCTCCCTCACGGAAGTCAAATCCGTTGACTCAGCCGGCAATACAATTTTATCTAAAGAGCACATTTTTGTTTGGTGTAAGCAGTTACATTTTTCCGTAAACTACTGTTTGTTCATACGGTTCACAATTTGTTTTGTTCAGATGTGTGCTGCAATACGAGTGTTGGCAGTTCCACCCAATGATGTGCCCAAGATACAGATTAAATCCCTACAGGAGTTGTGTCAAAAGGTCTAATTATGTTTTAGGTGCACACAACGCATTCGTCTTTCGTGTACATCTATATTATTGTAAATCCATACGTATTTAGCTCTCCGATATTTTTTTGGGCTGCACAGCGATTTGTTCTAAATTGTGCGCCGACGTTTCGCTCCACGTACCAATTCATTGCCTTAAGCTCGCCCGGAAGCACGTGGCGTCAAACATCGTAGCATCACAACGTGGGCGCGACTCGAAAGCACATCGGAGAGTTGCACAGCTCAACGGCGTAAGACCCAAACGGCAAGATGAATTGTGTTAATTGATTTTCCTTCATTTGCAGAAAGAGAGTGTGGTGACCCAGATCCAATACCCACACTGGAAACCAGACGGACTTCCCAAGTCGCCCAAGGCTCTAGTATCCATTATGAATGCGGTCCAGGGCTGTCAGAAAGAAAATGGCAACCACCGACACATTGTTGTCCACTGCAGGTAAACGCACGCTCCCATTTTGGCTCTTTCGAAGAAGAGGTTATTTTGCCTTGTGCTTATATATTTGTGTCCACAACACGTCTTTTGTTTCCGCCGTTTTAGTGACGGAGCGAGCCGAACCGGCACATTCTGCGCACTTTGGCACACCCTTGAGGCTGCGCGCATTGAGGGGATGGTTGACTTCTTCCAGGCGGTGAAGTGGCTAAATATGCAGCGTCCGGAAATTGTCAAAAATAAGGTAGACGTTCGACTGCTGTGTCGGTTTTCACGGTCGTGCGGTGCAGCGCCTCTCATGCGGTGTTCTCCCAACACAGAGAAGGCCCATGGGCACGTTGAGTTTTTTGCGAAAAATTATCATGAATCTGGCAAACGTTTACAGTTGTAAAGCTTCGATTGAAAGCGTTCGTGACCGCAAGGATTCATCTTCTTTGGTTCTTTCGGTAAAGTCACGTAGAATGAGAATAAAAGAATAAAATAAAACAATAAAATTCTCACTTTTTCTTGTTTTATTTTATTATTTTATTCTCATTCTACGTGACTTTACCGAAAGAACCAAAGAAGAGTTGTAAAGCTTCTCCAGATCTTAATTACTTTGCATTGTAAATATAGACATGGGGACTTTATTATTTTGAGTGTGACCTTCAAGCTGATGCGATGCTACTATTGGTAGATATAAGGAATGCAAAGATTTCCACTAACCGGTGATTCGATTATCACAATTCAGGGTTACGGTTTTAATTCCACATCGCATTTTATTTTATTCTTGTGAATGTAGTGGCCAGTAGTGGCTACGGGAATGAACATGAATACCTCCATCATAGTAATGACGTTTTTTTTTTCTCTTGTGAAGGTCCACTACCGCTTCCTGTACGAGACCGTCTGCAGCTTTGTGAATTCGACTAATGGCATACAGAATGCGTATACGGTCGCTCTGGAAAATGTTGGATCAATGCATTCAGTCGACATTATATCAGAACTATGATACAAAGAACGAACTGGTACATAATTCAACTCGAATTACACCTCGTTCAATTCCATTGGTAACTGCTTCGTTTCAGTTCCCGACTCTGCATTCATGTTGCACCCTACACTCAGGGATTTGCAGTTTTAGGAAACCAATGAGTGGTTCCTGTATGTCCAAAACAACATGACCAAAGAGACACAATACAGGTGGTGTTTACCTCTTATGATTTAAAAGACGTGTATATATTGAGCATAATTTTTTTGTAAAGTACATTTTAAAATTTGTATGGACTACTTCTCTCAAACTCAGCTGGACAATGTCATAATCTAATTATTTAGCTTTCGTTTGGAGATTTTGTTTACTGTTCACTGCTGTACAAATTTTACTCTGCTAAAAAGAACACATTTACAAACTGCAGCTGCCGATTTTTACGCACGTGAAATTGCAGTCTAAAAATGTCTCATTAACTCAGCGCGCTCATTACAAATTCTATAAGGATGAGAAATATCTTGCTGAACCCCCAGCAACTCCACATAACCCGAGTAAAAAAAAAAAACCCCATCAATAATGTTCTAGATGGCCTTCCCAAGCCACCACTTGGCTTTAATATCCTCATTTTATAAGCAAACAAAACAAAGTTTCCTATATGGATTCCTATCTGCCTGGCTGACGCGCGGCCAAGTGCGCGATAGCGGAGACAGGGAGGTAAGGGAGGAAAGGAGTGAAAGGGCATGTAACGGAGAGGAATGGAAAGAGCAAAACGGAAAAAAATTAAAGCGAGTGAAAACGACAAGCAGTGCGCGGGAGGATTTGGGAAGAGGCAAGAGATTAAGATGTGAAAGAAAAAATTGGGAATAAGGAGAGCAAGTGCGAGAGAAACACAGAGATAGGGGGGAAGGGGAAGAGGGTGAGATACATTGGAGGCAGAGGAGCATAGATGGAGCGATAACAGGATACATAGGAATAGAAACAGGGAAACGGAGACAAAGCGAGAAATGGAGATAGATTTGGGAAAGGTGGAGACACGGCTCTAGATATATATAAGAAGTATACAAAGTTTGACTGGCTGGGAGACAGACGAACACGTCCAGAGGACGTGCAGTTTGCTAGTATTAACTATTACAATCGTACATTGTAAAATGGAATACGTCCAAGAAGACATCTACCGAGTTGGAGCAATGCAATCGGTGCATGTGTAGGTGCTGAGTGGATTAGATATCGCAGAATTGTGAAAAGACCATCCAGTAGTCGATTGACCATGGTTGCTCATGGTCACGACATTCTAAATGCTATACCATATATACATGGCTAAAACCGTGTTGTTAAAATGTACTGCAAATGGTTTACCATCTACATAGAGTATCGAAGCTAAAATGTATTGCCAGCAAGGAAACAAACCAATTTCTTCAGAGAAAGATTAAAAACAGTTTCGTCGGTATTTATTGAACGGCCGTTAAACCCGTTTAAAATCTGAAGTGAAATTGTCATAGTAGAACGTGTAATGGTAACTTATAACATGCCAAATTGACCCAGGTCAGAGTAAATAGTGCACTTTTCACTGTAAATGGTTTAGCTCTGCAAAGGGCAAAATGTGTGAAAAGGGTAAGCCAGTTGTTGCACCAAAATAAGGTTTCCATTTTCCTCGCACATTTAAGGAGCATATATATTGTCTACTTGTGATAACATACATCGCTTTACGTTTTGCATATTTGTATGCTGTTATTTAATAGGCACCACTGAAAAGCTGAACGAATTTTGTCGAAATTGATGATGCTTCGTCCAGATAAAACATAGGCTTGGTGCAAGGTTGTTCCAGAAAATCTAAAACATTGCTCGCGAGTAAAAAGTCCGTTCCAGTCCACTGGATATACAGGCAATGTAACAAAAGATGTCACACCGACAATAACAAGGAATTTGTTGCGTTTTCATGCAATTTAAATCCCAAATTCGCTACCTAGCTTTATGCATATTACTTTCTGCAAGTGAAGAGACGGAGTCAGTGTATTGCATTGCAAGCAATGGTGTGTTTTGCAACTTCCTTTTTAAGCGAATATATTTTGACTTTTACGTTGTTGCATTTTTTAGCATATTTTTAAGTTATGTTTTGCCAGTTTGATTTAAAGATACAATATATCAAATGATCAGAGTATCAAATTATTTCATTGATTATTCGTGTTTGTTAGAATAACTTTATAAATTGTATTAAGTAAATAGTAAGCAGTGTAACGTGCTTTAACTAATAATGTAATAGCCTTAAAACAAGTGAAACGCTTAATGATTGCAATTCAAGTGCCTGCTTTGGTCTGCACTTCCGTTATTGTGCTTGCACTATCAGAAACTTAGAATGAACATTTGGCAAGAGAGCCACATCGTCTCAAACAACACCATGAGGTCAATGTATTTGGTTTACTGGTTTCAAAACCGGCCGAATCTTGATTAAAGGATTATTTTTTGATTACAGATTGTTAGTAAAGATGTTTACCAACAAACTATTATTTTTCATCAATTTACTTTTTGTTAACATTCCAGAAAGTGCTTGGTTTTGTTTGATGTTTTGTAAAGATGTCGGTAAATAAAAACATAACAAAGAGAAAGTGTTCCTCAAAATATTATTATACTGGATGACATGCTACTGTTTTTACTAGTTCATAATACAATAGTAACCCTTGTCCATATTTGTACCTGATATATATTGTTAAGAAAAAGTGAATATATCCCAAGAAATGTACATCTGTGAATCTGATCGGTTTACTCCTGTGGAATATAAGGAAATGTTTCTTTGACCCATTAAGACAGCAGTTAATCCTTAGAATATTTAGAAGATAATACTCGACACATACAGTATGCAATCAATAAAATAAATCTTCTTTGGTTCTTTCGGTAAAGTCACGTAGAATGAGAATAAATTAATAAAATAATAAAATAAAACACAATAAAATTCTCACGACGTTTCGGCCACAACACAAGTGGCCTTCTTCATTTATTATTTTATTCTCATTCTACGTGACTTTACCGAAATAACCAAAGAAGATGAATCCTTGCAGTCACGAAAGCTTTAAATCGAAATTCAATAAAATAAATTTAAATACAAACGCTGGTATAAACCCAAGACCTTAACAATGCACAGTATGTTTACTACAAATCATAATGCTTTCATACGTAAAAAAAAAACAAGCGATCCTGTTTAAATTGCAGTGTTTTTATTTTGGCAAAAAAATATTCAAATCTATAAAACTTTTACAAAGTTCAATGTGATTGCATTAAGCTTGCAAGGCAGAACCAATGTCTTACATTTGCAGTAGAGCACCAAAAGCAATATTAAAATATATTCCACATTATTACCAAAGACCAAAGTGTAAACAGCAGCTTTTCCTTCCCCAAACTAACATTAGCAGTATGACACCAAACAGCATTCAACATTTCTGAAAAATCCCGATTTTCACGTACCCTGAGAAATCATAAAGTGACACGTTTTCCAATAAGATTCCAAAAAAAACGTGGAATCTTTACACGAAAAATCTATCAGCCCAAAGATGAAAGCAATGAATAAAAAAACCTCATCTTGAAATACTAGATTTACAATTGACCAGAAACAGGTGTGTACAGCTGCACCTTGACAAAGGAGATGGACTCAGTAGTGTCCACCTGGCCTTTCTCAAACAGGATGTAGACATAGTTGTTGTCCTCTATGTCATTGTCCAGCTTGGCCATGACCGAATATCCGCTGGGCCCAGGCCAGATCAGCAGCGATTCAGGCCATGTCGTCCCATTGTTATAGCTCCACCTCAGCGTTAGATTTATGCCTGGCAAACCCGGAAAAAGAATAATTACGTAGAATAAAATGTCAAGCTATGATAAAAAAACAAATTGCCGGCATATTTTGTCTCATCATGAATAAAAATGTGTTCCATTGAAATAATTCACCCAACTTGCAGAGAATAAAGGAAATTATTGTGTGGCCCTGGCATTAAAGCACACAGCACTTAAACAGTTTTAATACTTATAACTTAAAATATATTCTAAAATGGCTTTGAGTTTAAGTTTAATTTCATTAAACTGAAACATAACTCACGTTTAGATCCGCTAGCTGGATTGGTAAAGAACACAACTTGGTTTTTCAATACAGCGCCAGCAGCCACTGCAGGGTCGATTAGTGACTTGTCAAAATAGAGATTCTCAATTGGGAAGGTCTCACCGCCATCGAAACTCTGCATCACGATGCGGCAGTGGCAGTGGTAGAAGTTCTGGTTGCGTGCGTTCACCACCACAGAGCCATCTGGCAGCTCGTAAGGCTGGGTACGGTTTCAGAAAAGTGGGGTTAAAATGTTACGGTCTGGGCACGTTGGGAGAAAACGCAATGACAATTCATTAAACATCTGCTGAGCTAGTGTACTGACAAAATGCATAAATGAGATGGCAGCAGAAACCTGGCATTCATCAGGGTTGAAGTCACCGGCCGCTTTCTTTTGCTTGTATGGAATGCTCTTCATGACACCTCCGTTAAACCAGGTCTTTCCATGGTCATCGCTCAGGAGGCAGAAAACTCCATCCGCCAGGAGCATGCCGTGTCCACACACTATCAAGCGCCCCTTCCTGGGCTCGTGCCTTTTCTGTACGAAATATATTTTTTCGTGACAGTTCAAAAAGATAAGCAAACATGTCATTCACGCTGCCTTATAAACAGGAAAAAAAAGACGTAAAAGGTTAAAATGCCAGTGATTATTCAGAGAACACAACGACTGACCTAAATACGTTACTAATTTATCACCGTTTAGCTTACCTGAATGCCATAGCCTGGGCCCGGAGCAAATGCGTCGGTGCCAACCTGGCGCGAAATATTTATGGGTCTACTCCAGGTGATGCCGTCATCCGTGCTGCTGATGAGCATGGTACTGGAGACGGCACATTTCAGGTGGTGGGCACATCGCACGTACATGATAAACAATACACCCTCCTCGTGATCGGCGACTACCGCGCCCAGATTGAGGCCATCGGCAGTTGAGCCATCATCGGCCACAAACTCCGAGGGACTCCACGTGAAGCCTGTCGGCACATAAAAGGCAAAGAAAGGCTGGCTTATTAAATAAAATGTGCACTCTAAAGTGGTGGTTCCCCATCCTTGTTTGTCGTGTACCGTGCCTTAACTGGACAAATCAATGGTCCACGGACCCATACCAACAATAGGCTTTATATTTTAACAAGTCAGATTTTGCTCAATTATTCAGTTGTATGTTAAACTTCTTTCGCACCATACGTAGCCAACCGCGCGAATCGGAGGTGCGTTATTGGAAAAATCCCTGCACCCCTAATTAAACGTACATGTAATTAACGCCTGAGACATTAATTTAACGCTTAACTGAAAAACAACCCACTAAATAATTCCACAAAACAGATAAGTGTTCATGTTTAGAATTGCTAGTGCACACATGTAGAGCAGTGTGGCTTAGTAACCCCCATACCCAACTGACACATTGCGATTTGCCTTGCATACCCCTCGAGATATCATGTGTATCCTCAGGGGTATTCTTACCGCAGGTACAAACCATTGCTCTGAAATAGATTCAGACATGAATAAGTGCTTGTTGTTCTGTAAGGTCACAATGTAATTGTTTTGAGCAAGTGAAGATACACGCTTAATTACTGAATGGTAAACAGTATTTTGTAAGGGACACCGATTGTGTGCATAATTATACAGGAATGTTTTTTTATTAAACTCAAGTAATGCTTACCTTTGTCAGTGGACCTACGAATGGCAATGAACTTGGCTCCTTTGTCAGAATAAGAGTATTTCCGAGCCTCCGCTGCAGCGATTAGATTTCCTTTTGGGGTATCAGTGATAATGGGTATTCTGAAAGTATTTACCTCCCCAGTGGCTTTCCTTTGCCAAAGCAACTGCTCCTCCAAAATCCTGGGGTTCACCTACGATATGCAATGGTTTAGTTTGAGTAATAATAGCAAGTGTTGTGAAAACATGCATTCTATGCGAACCAAATCATTTTAAACAGACAATGTAAATTATATTGCGTGTTTAGATCACTAATTTCACTGTAAACACATTTCGCAGTTATGAAAATGTTAACTTTATATTTACCATTAATAATTGACCTCGATCAAAGATTTAACTATTTTTAAGTTGTGTACTTCCAACAATAACTTTATTTTGTTGAGCAGCCTATTCAGACAGGACGTTGATTCTGCTTATGTTTATCAGGCCAAATTTGCAACATTATTCGTGCATGGTAGTCACTGAATTGAAGGGAAATTGGAATCAAATGGATGAAGTACAGAGGTGTATACTCAAACAGGCTAGAATTATTTTGTCAAGCTGAACTTCATGATGAAAAAAAAATCGGTGTACCAATGTCCAAAAAGAATAGTTTGAACCAGTGGATTTGACAATTGTGGTGACATGAACCAGACATATGGTCACTGACAATGGAAATGGAACAAAAGCGAAAAGGAAATGGACAGCTATGTTCCAAATTACAGATGAAAATAAGAACTGTACTGTATCAGAGAAAAAAATAGAATTCAGTCATATGTAATGCACATCATATTGACCGATATGAAAGTTGGAATTGGTCAGGACACATCACGAGAAGCTAAGATATACAATAGACAAGATGTGTGACGTAATGGCAGCTGAAGGGTAAAATGTGCCCCAGAGCACAGACATGCAGTGATGACAAAGGAGCTACATGGATTGTGCCATCATTGTATGCAGAGAAGATGGCTTGGGATGGCATTAATCAAGCGGTGTCGACAATGGCTGCTGATAATGATTACACTTTAGCACAGTATAGTACAAAAAAACAAGGTAAATACCCTAAAATTAGGCAGGTTTAATCCGTTTTATAACATCGAGCTTTAGCACTGGATCCAGTTCAGACCATTGTCAACAACATGTAAAAACTGGTTCGACTACTTTACAGTCTAAACGATTGTTCTCCTGGTACATATTTGTACAGGTATTGAAAAAGATTAGAAACAAATCACGTTGAAAATCAAAACATTGCATCCTGAAACAAGTTTTACGTTTTTGTTTAACAACCACTAAAAGGTTGTTTTTTCTCCAAGCCAGCAACTACGATTCAACTAATGCTTTATTTAAAAAACATATTCACAACATTGTGCAAAAAGCATCACGGTGCAGTGCACATTAATGAAAAGAATTTTCTCAGTAATGAACATGACAAACGCGTCCCACAAGCTTTGACACTGTTGTCCGGGCAGCCAATAAAGTGAAAGGCTCCAAACGCACCAGACACTATTATGATGGCTCGTTTTGTGACCACCACCCCCCTACACTGCAACTCACCAGATAAGATTGAATGAGGTATACACGAGCACGCTTTAACCAGGCCCCCTGGAATGTCATGGGTTGGTTTTATTTTACAACAGAGTCGCTATGAATTTGACATTGCCATGCTTGGCACACCGAAATACTGGTGTGAAAGTTCTAAGCTGGTGTGGGCTCAAGGGACGTTGTCGGGGGGGGGGGGGGGGGGGGGTGGTGCAAGTGTTAAAGATTGATGTGTTTCGCGGATCAGAACATTTGCCGCTGGCAAAGGCAATGTTGAGCAAGGAGTTGACGTAGAGGTTGTCAAAACTTGTTTTAAAGGCACCCCTAAGTGTTCCACAATCGGTTAATCTAATTTGCACTTCATTTGCAACAAAAGTTGGCTTTCCAAACCCACCCTCTGCGTTATCCAATCACTATGTACGAATGGGCGTTTTGCGAATTTTTTACATTATAAACCACAAAGCCAATTTCAATGTCGAGTGTCTTCCAGAGATTACATAATACCCAAAGCACGTGTTACATTATTACAGAAACAACCTTTGCACCACTCGTGCACTGTAGTGTAAGTGTCCCTTCAAACATGACCATGAAAACTGAAATTTTTGATTCTTATTAATTATCCATTGAGAATGGATGAGGTTTTTTTTAACCATACTTCACCAGTGCGGACTGAAGAGTGTGGGGGCCAGGAGTGATTTACAGCTATCGAATGTCAATGGCTAAAATAATGTCCAGCATAAACGTACTTTGGCCAAATTAACTTTTATTAAGTTAACAAAAAATAATCGAACAATATCCCAGCATTTAAATACTATTGCCGCATTTCAAATCCGTTTGAACTTGGAATGTTCGCCTCTGCTTAGGGTTAAAACTTTAGAAATTAGAAAAGTGTGCTTTCACATTTTGAGTTGTAATAATTAATTTTGTTTATCTAACAGTTATAACCATTTCTACAGTTTATAAAAAAATACTTCAAACAGCAATGCTAAAGATATCGCGGATAAACCTTAGCCTTTCCACTTCCTTATCTCTTTTTGCGGTGTTTGTAATTGATAAGAATGACGCAGCGTAATTCCTAGACACCCGCACAATACAAATCAACACACTCTCCAATGTTCCACGAGATAACCCATTAAAACACGTAATAATTCCCGTAAACCACGTAAAAAGAAATTCCAAAGGGTATATTACTGGCGAAACGTCGTACTCGGATTGTAAATATTTTGGATTTGCTCTACAAACACCGGCGTGCTGTACTAGTGACGAATTGGCATGCTCCGTTTACGTGACAAACCTTACAAATTGGCTGTGTTGGGTGGTGGCGGGTTTAACGACATATTTATATATTTACGCGATATAACCCCAAAAACAAACTTGTATTATGGATATTGGTCGCGAAAGCCTACTTGTTAAACTAAGCGTATAAACGTCACAAACACGAGCAGGCACTGTAATTGAAGACGTGTTAAGTCCGCGGAACACAACGCTACGTCTGAAATGTAAACAACTGCTAACGAAACACAAAGCGTTGCGATGTTATTCTATTTTAGCATGTTCCATATCTTAGTTGTACCTTTTAAAAGTTCAAGGTGTTTGGCCTAGCAGAGCACCCGGAAAAAAAGTGCAGCCTACGTGTTGCCTGATCCGCGTGCCCGAAAAAGTCGCACAGCAAGCGGCTGCGCTTGGCAAGATGCGGCGGCGGCGAGCGGGGCGGCGCGTCACGTTACGGGACACCCCCTTAAATCGATGACAAAACACAAATCAATGAGATCGATCACTTCAAATTGTAACAGCCATCGTACCTTCATGAGTCCCACACAAACGGAGCTACAAGCTCCCAGGAACGCACACAGCGCTAACACATTCGGAGACAAGGCCATTGCCGACGACGACGGCGATGGCGATACCGGCGGCTTGAGCCAGCCCGCGCCGCGCCCCCTTAGAGGGCGTTCGCGATGGCCAGAGAGGTGCCGATGATTGGCAAGTCACGCGGTGGACGATGCCAACCCGTGCGTCACCAGGTAAAGGCGCTCATCGAGCGTACAGGTTGTGCGTAAAAAAAAATGAACAAACAAACGCGTCCGATCTCAAACGCGTCCGATGTCTCCTCGTCACGCCATGCGGTTTACTCCGTATTCGTGTGCGGCCGGGAATGTTGGGTTTGCAGGTACAGCCGTTTCAATACGGGCACAAAAAAATATTGGGGTTTTTTTTCTCTCTCTATTGTTGTTCGTGTTTCTCCCTCGTGATGGGACTTTGTTGGATGAACGTTGAGATTTATAAGGGGCACGGGGTGACCAATACGGTGTGAGTTGGTCTGTAAAATGGTAGGCACTGATTAAAGGTTGACAGGTACGCTATACACTAATAAACACTACACTACTATACACTACACTACTGTACACTACACTATACACTACGATACTATACACTACACTACTACACACTACACTACTATACACAACACTACTATACACTACACTACTATACACTACAATACTATACACTACTATACACTACACTATACACTACACTACTATACACTACAATACTATACACTACACTACTATACACTACAATACTATACACTACTATACACTACACTATACACTACACTACTATACACTACAATACTATACACTACTATACACTACACTACTATACACTACACTACTATACACAACACTACACTACTATACACTACGCTATACACTACACTACTATACACTACAATACTATACACTACTATACACTACACCAGGGGTCGGGAACCTTTTTGACTAAGAGAGCCATGAAAGCAAAAAAATTGGAAATTTATTTCAGTGAGAGCCATATAATATATTTTAAAAGTGAATTCAACTAAATGTCAGTATAATAAGCCTCTGAATTTATTCTTTTAAATAATGTTGTTATAACACTCACCATTAATGCGACTTCTGGTGCTGCATGGATTTGCTGATGTCTTTGTAGTCGGGTTGGTACTTGGTGAGGTTAAGCTTCATGCAAGCGTTGAGGCTTTCATCCGTTAAACGTGATCGTAGGTTGGACTTGATGTTTTTAAGATGTGAGAATGACTGCTCACATGCATACGTAGATCCAAACATGGTCAATACAGCAATACTCACACGCTGCAGTGTGTGGTATGTGACAGGAAGCGCGTTCCAAGTTTTGAGAATCAGCTGGTCTTCGGGTTGGAGTTTTTTCATTTCTGTCCACATGTGCTTGCTCGCCAACTCCGCTTTCTGTCGTGTGATTCTTTCCAAATCTTCATTCAGTGACTTGAACTTATTCACCCACATGTCTGAGGCCTTCAGGTCAGCCACTTCTGCTTCAAAATCTCTGACGGAGACACCAGGGATGTAATTCAGGTCGGCTGTGTTCAGTGAACACTCGTTTGGATGGGTGATGAACTTAAAAAGACGAGTGTGCTCACAAAATTCTCCAAAGCGTGCTTTGAAGGACTGCCTACCATTTGAGGAGCCACTCGGTGTCGGCTAGCTCAGGATGCCCGACGCCTTTCATTTCAAGGAAAGTCCGGATTTCGTTCAGGCAAGCCGCAAAACGGCTAAGCACCTTCCCTCTTGACAACCAACGCACATTGCTGTGCAAAAGCAGACCAGGATAGTTATTTACAACTTCATCCAGCAGTGTTTTAAACTGGCGATCATTTAAGGCTCGGGCAACAATAAAGTTGATCACACGAATGACCAGCGACATCACTTCGCCAAACTGCCTGTCACACATCTGAGCACAAAGTGCCTCCTGGTGTATAATGCAATGGAAACTTAGGATGGGTCTATTTTCATGTTCACGGAGAAGCGCCACAAATCCTTTGTTTTTCCCCACCATACACGGAGCACCATCAGTACACACTGAGAGAAGTTTATCCATAGGTAGACTTTTTTCTTGAGCAAACTCCATGAAAGACTTGAATAAATCCTCACCTCTTGTGGACCCTTTTAATGGCAGAACAGCAAGACTTTCTTCGCGCAGTGTGTCACCAACAGCATATCTTGCAATCACGCTGAACTGCGACAAATGGCTCACGTCTGTTGACTCATCCAAAGCCAGAGAAAAGAACGGCGCTGCATTTATGTCCTTCACTTGCGTTTCCTCCACTTTGTTTGCCATCACGATGGTACGATCATGAACAGTTCTTGCCGACAGAGGCATGTCTTGTATCCGTTTGATTATCTTGTCTTTGTTCGGAAGATCATCAAAAAGTTCATTGGCTACATCCAGCATGAACGTTTTAGCATACTCGCCATCTGTGAATGGTTTTCCGTCCCTCACTATTGCTAAAGAACCAGCAAAGCTAGCCGAATTATAGTCACCTTGCCGGGTCCATACGCGGAGTTGCTGCTGGCTAGCTTGCACCCTGCTCAGAAGCTCTTGGCACGCTTTCTTTCTGCTGTCTCCCGCAGGGTATTTTGATGCAAAGGTAGCGTGGCGTGTGTCGAAGTGCCGCTTTACATTCGACCGTTTCAACGATGTAATTTTGTCATTGCAAATTAGACACACCGCAGAACCCGCTCTCTCCACAAAGGCGAATTCTTCGGTCCATTCGTCCTGAAATGTACGATACTCGTCGTCTTTTTTTCTTTTCGCCATCTTCTTCGTCGAAGGGTTAGCTTTGAGCTAATGACCGAGCAGACGCAGTCTCAGACTGATTCAAAAGGGGGCGTTTACCTGTTTTACCCAGCAACGGCAAACGTAGGCCAGTATCATCCAATTAAAATAATGGACAATTGCTCCTGCAGCCCTGAACAGGACATGCGCAGTGAAAAATCGATGGATGGATTAAAACAAGTGAGAATATTTTGTTTTATCTGCGAGCCATATGCAATCATCAAAAGAGCCACATCTGGCTCGCGAGCCATAGGTTCCCGACCCCTGCACTACACCATACTACTATACACTACACTATACACTACACTGCTATACACTACACTACTATACACTACAATACTATACACTACACTACTATACACTACACTACTATACACAACACTACTATACACTACACTACTATACACTACACTATACACTACACTACTATACACTACACTATACACTACTACAGTACTATACACTACACTACTATACACTACAATACTATACACTACTATACACTACACTACTATACACTACAATACTATACACGACACTGCTATACACTACTCTACTATACACTACAATACTATACACTACAATACTAAACACTACTCTACTATACACTACAATACTATACACGACACTAATATACACTACAATACTATTGACTACACTACTATACACTACAATACTATACACAACACTAATATACACTACACTACTATACACTACACTATACATTACACAACTACACACTACACTACTATACACTACACTACTATACACTACAATACTATACGCTGCAATACTATACACAACACAACTATACACTACAATTCTATACACTACAATACTATACACTACACTACTATACACTGCCATCCACTACACTATACACTGCACTACTATACACTACCTACTATACACGACCATCCACTACACTATACACTGCACTACTATACACTACACTATTATACCCTACCCTGTCAACCCATATGGTTTACCCGTAGTCTTGTACAGGGAAATTGAGTTTTCAGGTTCATGTGGCGTGCAGCCGCATGAACCTGTGCTGGGACTTTGTAGGATGAGCGTTGAGATTTATAAGGGCACGGGGTGACCAATAATATCTGAATTAGTCTGTAATAAGGTAGGCACCGATAAGGGGTCGACAGGTTTGTATAATAATAGGCAACACGTTAAGTGGGGCTATTGGATAGATGGACGGACCGTCAAGAATAATGACGAGGAAATAATGACGACAAGGGACATTGAAAATTCCACCGACGAGATGATGGATAAGCAGATAGCAAAGGCCCTCTTTAAAAGCTGAGAAGATGTCACGACCTGCATTTCTTTTTTTTTTACAGATTGTCATCTTTGAATTACTGTAGTGCGTCACATCCAAACGTGAGACTGCAGAATATATAATGGGCAGCTTTCTGTTTCTTTCAATCTTCTACCATTTGCCAAATTGTCGTTTCAGAGTGAGAATTATTAGTTCAGAAGATTGCAATTACGTACAGTATATCAAAAGGCTCTGGTCATTTTCCTTCCCTATGTGCTTTGAATACTATCTTTTTTTTAGTCATGAATAAATGATATCCACTTAAACTTAACTTTAGCCGATGCTACATTGTGTCATTACTTGCATCTCTCTGTGCACGTAGTTTTGTGTTAATAACCAAATGTACTCATTCTGGTCATTTGAATTCTCCTGTGTATTTTACTTTCATAATAGGACCATTCATAATTAGCAGAAACATACTACCCTTCCACACAAACTAACTCTTTAGCGTATTCGATTTCAGCTAATAACACGGTATATATAAAACAATGGACACTCATACCATGAGTTTCAAGATGGGCTAATTTTATGATAAATATGAATATTAATACTTATGGCACTTAGTCATTTAACAGCATAATAAATATAGATTGTTTTCAATTTCTCCCATTTAATGAATGCAAATGCATTCATGAAATTAAAGGCTGACTTTAATAAAAAAAAAATATATATGCACGTTCACACATGGGAGTTCAACTCATCGGCAAAACGTATATGGGGTCCTGGACATTGAGGGCCCATCCCAATGCAATACCCGGGCTGCATTAACACAGTTCAAAGGTTACTGAGAACCCATATCACTAGTTCCCAAAAGAGGCCTGAAAAACCTGAAGAGCACTCCAGCAGCTGACAACCGAAAGGAAAATCGAAAATAATTAGAGCACACGGAGCGATTTTGAACATTGAAATGCGATTTTAATTTCACAAAAAAGAATGCATGATGATATCCAACGGACCCAATGATATATAAATTGTGCACTATAGTGTATAACGTGCCATAATATGACCATTGCACCAGACGCTTGCAATACACGCGTATACATGCACGTTATAATTTTATGAATGTACAGTTTGTGCTATAAATAGTTATTAATTACATGCAGACACATTTCCTACCCCTCATACAGCATTAATACAAAAAACACACACACACACTGGTACACTACAAGCTGTAATACAGTATTAGACATGTTAATGTTTACACAGTGAAATATTCACATAATCAAAATGATTAATACATATATTAATATAAAACAGCCGGAAATCACTTCTGGAACGTAACTTGGAATAAAGCACGTTCAGCAAATCCATTAGATTCTTTCTCCATGTCCATAAACTAATCTTTTGCATAAAACTCGTTATACTGTCAAGGATAAAATATGCAACGACTTTGACGTTATTGCATCTGCCTCGGCAAAAATATTCATTTGCTGAGGAGGCTTGCCTCTTTTAAAATGCGCTTTCTGCATCAAGTAATTTTGAAATAATCTACCAGTGTATTCAATGGCCAACGTAGAGAAAAAAATAGACACTTTTTCAGTCAGGCAATTGAGCACTTTGAAAGTTACGTCTGCAAGACCCGATTACAGTTAAATGACCCGTTTTATTTAATGGCTTGGTTGGGGCTGGTAAACGGCTAAAGGAGCTGATTGAGACTTACCAATCACATAGCACGCAACCCTATCTCACTTTGGCATATTTCATGCGTTAGTCGAGATAGTTTTAATCAAAGCTAACATTTATTCCATAAATAGCTCACCCGCATCCGTAATTGTGTTTCCAAATAATTGCGTGCGATGTACAATGAGGGAAAAAAAAGTATTTGATCCCCTGCTGATTTTGTACGTTTGCCCACTGACAAAAAAATGATCAGTCTATAACTTTAATGGTAGGTTTATTTGAACAGTGAAAGACAGAATAACAACAACAAAAATCCAGAAAAACGCATGTCAAATATGTTATAAATTGATTTGCATTTTAATGAGGGAAATAAGTATTTGACTTCTCTACAAAACATGACTTAGTACTTGGTGGCAAAACCCTTGTTGGCAATCACAGAAGTCAGACGTTTCTTGTAGTTGGCCACCAGGTTTGCACACATCTCAGGAGGAATTTTGTCCCACTCCTCTTTGCAGATCTTCTCCAAGTCATTAAGGTTTCGAGGCTGACATTTGGCAACTCGAACCTTCAGCTCCCTCCACAGATTTTCGATGGGATTAAAGTCTGGAGACTGGCTAGGCCACTCCAGGACCTTAATGTGCTTCTTCTTGAGCCACTCCTTTGTTGCCTTTGCCGTGTGTTTTGGGTCATTGTCATGCTGGAATACCCATCCACGACCCATTTTCAATGCCCTGGCTGAGGGAAGGAGATTCTCACCCAAGATTTGACGGTACATGGCCCCGTCCAGCATCCCTTTGATGCGGTGAAGTTGTCCTGTCCCCTTAGCAGAAAAACACCCCCAAAGCATAATGTTTCCACCTCCATGTTTGACTGTGGGAATGGTGTTCTTGGGGTCATAGGCAGCATTCCTCCTCCAAACACGGCGAGTTGAGTTGATGCCAAAGAGCTCCATTTTGGTCTCATCTGACCACAACACTTTCACCCAGTTGTCCTCTGAATCATTCAGATGGTCATTGGCAAACTTCAGACGGGCATGTATATGTGCTTTCTTGAGCAGGGGGACCTTGCGGGTGCTGCAGGATTTCAGTCCTTCATGGCGTAGTGTGTTACCAATTGTTTTCTTGGTGACTATGGTCCCAGCTGCCTTGCGATCATTGACAAGATCCTCCCATGTAGTTCTGGGCTGATTCCTCATCGTTCTCATGATCATTGCAACTCCACGAGGTGAGATCTTGCATGGAGCCCCAGGCCAAGGGAGATTGACAGTTCTTTTGTGTTTCTTCCATTTGCGAATAATCGCACCAACTGTTGTCACCTTCTCACCAAGCTGCGTGGCAATGGTCTTGTAGCCCATTCCAGCCTTGTGTAGGTCTACAATCTTGTCCCTGACATCCTTGGAGAGCTCTTTGGTCTTGGCCATGGTGGAGAGTTTGGAATCTGATTGATTGATTGCTTCTGTGGACAGGTGTCTTTTATACAGGTAACAAGCTGAGATTAGGAGCACTCCCTTTAAGAGTGTGCTCCTAATCAGAAAGGGTTTTATTCGCCATGAAAGTTCACACAGACACGGAATTTACTTTGGCAGGATGGTGCATACATTCAACATATAGAAATCTCAGCTCGTTACCTGTATAAAAGACACCTGGGAGCCAGAAATCTTTCTGATTGAGAGCGGGTCAAATACTTATTTCTCTTATTAAAAGCAAATCAACTTATAACATTTTGACATGCATTTTTCTGGTATTTGTTGTTGTTATTCTGTCTCTCACTGTTCAAATAAACCTACCATTAAAATTATAGACTGATCATTTCTTTGTCAGTGGGCAAACCTACAAAATCAGCAGGGGATCAAATACTTTTTCCTTCGCTGTATGTGCGCAGTGTACAAGTGCTTATGCGGCGCACGCTTCCACAAGATGGCAATATACCACGTCCAAAAAAACATTTCAATCGAACCAAAGGCAGAACTGCATTTTCCCTTTAAATTGTGAGAATTTTAGTATCTCACGCCCAGACATATATTTTCTGACTCTGGGTATAGATGTCTTTGCGATGTCATATATAATTGTACTCATGTACACTATGTAGAATAAAACATATTTTGGTAATTTTAGTGGCTGATCATTTTACAACACACGTTTATCATTAAAGTAGGCTATGTAGATAGCTCAGACCTTTGAATAACATCCTATTTTACATTCCTTTGAACAACACACCTTACTGTTAAGCCTAACATGATGCAAAAGCATGGACTATACTATATGTGTAATTCAATCTTAACCTATAGTTAATAATTTATATTGCTGGATACCAAACTCCTTGTCAACCAATATACATTATGTATAAATAGCACATCCTATGCGGCATTATATTTTTGGCATATTAATAATTACAGCCCTTTGTCAATAATGCACTTCTGGATAAAGGCTGCTGCATATCATTTTAGTTAGATGGATTGTTTGACCATACTTCACTACGCTGCAAGTTGTTAAAGGGTCGGGGGTGGACAGGACTGGTTTCATATATCACACGCCCCTGATGCGAACTATGACCTGGAATCAATCAAACTCCGGTGACCAGATTCACTTTGGAGTGCCTGGGCAACTTCGCCGCTGCATCTCCCAAGTGATATATATGCATTGCTAAATTCATGCGGAGGTATAATGGCAGAGCAAATTATTTGTGTACACCAGATGTTGACAGTAAATGCACGTTCACCTGTCGATCAGGACACACGTGGCTTTGGAGAGTGTCCGTATCAGAGCTTCGGTCAATAGATTAAATGAATGATTAATGTTTTATCATGTGACGCAAACTATCCCCACTTGTGTAGCGTCGACAATCAACGGTGTGAAAAGTCACACCAGAGGTGTTGAATTACCACGGCGCATTCCACACCCTCCACCTCCATCTCCTGCAGGTCTGAAAAATTCCCTGGAGGTGTGCGTGGTGGGGAAGATGGATGCGAGGTGAGAAAACGCACGTTGTTGGTTCCGTGGGTGAAAATTCTAATGAGCGTGATTGTTTAACCAACCCAGGCAACAGCACTTGGCAAAATCCCACTTTTAATATTTCATCAGGTTGATGTGAATAATACACGGTACTGTACCGTATTCACGGCTATTAACTATTGATCTAAGATACGTATGAGAGAATCAGTCGTATGACCAGATCACAACCTGAATTACACTCAATCTCATCAGGTCTCAGAAGCTAAGCAGGCTTTATCCTGGTTATTACTTGGATGGGAAATTGCCTGGGATTACCAGGCTTGTAGGCTTGTCCTGTAAATGCCAATGGATTCTTGAACGTATCGGTGAATTACGTTCAGTGTTACCCAATCATATGTGTCCGGGGTTTTCTCTGGTACTGTTTTCCTCTCATATGTCAAACGCTCATTATTAAATGGAATTGACCACACATCCAAAAAGCAGGAAACATCGTGAAAAAGAGTCTTTAGACTCAGTGTAAAGGGAATCTATATTTATTGAATGGGGTAATATGGTATTTTTTTACAAATATGACAGGGTACTTTGGCAGCATACTACTACACGATAATGTCATTGAAATTATAATATAAACGCTGTTTTAATAGCTTGTTTCATATCACCATTTCACTGGGTATGTTTAAGCTATCACATGTGCTTCAACGATCCTATACTTTTAAAAATATATTTATAAAACATGTTTATTTACACTCAGCTGCACGCAAGAGACACCGCTAAGCAAGGGCTAGTTACGGCTGATTAATGAGACGGAAGGCAGTTGTCATCCCTGTAGACTTGCATTTTTTCTCATTGTGGTGAATGATATATGAAGGTGGTATGGATTATTTGTCCCCGTCCGTGATATAAAGGTGGTGTGGGGCGATGTACTCATACCAACGCCATCTTATGCACATTCTAGACGCCTGACCTGTCCGTACGCGGTACAATGCCACGTGTCCATGTTGGTGGGGGAAAGATATCTGATAGCGATAGCCGGGGGGGGAGGAGGGGATGATTTGGTGAGGTGTGCGGGAACTGGGGGGGGACAACCTGTGGTTCAGCAAGCCGTAATTCGCGGAGTTGAAAGCAAGGTCAAAAGCCATGGGAAGGCACTAAAGGCTCCGCGCAGTCACTCGCAAATTAATATTTGATTATTTCACTCCGGATCAAGGTGGCACGAACGGAGGAGTCGTGCTGCGCGTTTTTAAAATGTAATTTTTTTTTATTAGAAGACGGAATATTTTTTTACAAACAAGTACGCGCCTGATAACACGGAAAATGCTCTCCGCGCTTATGTTCTGTTGTGCAGTGTGTACAATGTGCCACGTTTTTGTTGTTGTTGTTGTAAAAACACATGAACATTCAGCGCGGTACTTTTAATCCTTGTGAAATTAAGCAAAGGGAAATGAAGTTTGCACGCGTAAATTTTTTTTCCAATTCCTAATTTAAATGCATGTTGTTTTTTATGTACTTTCTGGAAATTGTAGTACGTACCGGCTGTATTTTTTTGTTGGCGTGAAAATTGGAAAGGAGCTGTACCTTTAAATATGGTGTGTGACTGTAATCTCTCTTGTCTCGTATTTCAATGAATATTTTATCATCCCACCTTCTGTCAAGGAGGAACATATTACAGAGCTCTTTGAGAGGTGAACCTGCACACTGAAATCACGTGTCTTTGTGTGATTATGATGCCGCAACACAACCAATTCTAACTTGTAAGCATAGAAAAAAACCGCACACACACTCACACTCAACGCTTAACATTTACCATCATCTTACAGCAAAATACGTAGAGTAATGACGCCACATCCAACATCAGCGCAAAAAAATCATACTTGTTGATATCACTTCATAATAATGTATAACCTTTAGTCATTCTACTGCAGGATAGAGGCCAGTGTCAATCATTGGGATGTTTGACCAGACTTCACTACCTGGTCAGTGCAAGGTAGTGAAGGGGAGGCCCATCATCAGTTGAGATATCAATTGGCAATTATTTTACCTGAGTTCGATTCCTTGCCAGGGCTAAGCTTGGTAAATACATTAATTTATGTCACTGGTTCATAGCGATGTACTTTAACTGTCGTGCCACTGGTCCACCACTGATAAGTAATTGTCATGAAGTGCATATAAAGTATTCTTGGTTCTTTCGGTAAAGTCACGTAGAAGGGAAACAATAAAATAATAAAAATATCAAACAATAAAGTGTGAATACTAATTCCGAATACAGCGTGTGAAAACCTATGAAAGTATCCCTCATTCACGAGTAATATAACTAGGAAACATATACTGTACAGTAAAAAAACAGGTATATAATTAACTTATTTAATTTACTGTCATTTTATTTATCACTTAATTTTTTGGAACGCTGTAAAATCTAGTTTCTGTGAAATGTAAGTGACTTTGTACTCAAACTAAAATCACTGTTACGTGGGAAAAATTGCCGGTACTTGACACATTTTCACACACTCTTACATTTTAGTGAAAAATATCTGGATTTCTTCTTATAATTGCAATTGACAATCGTCATTAGATATAACAGCAATCCTGTCAAACTTGCAAAACGTCATTGCACTAACTACGTAACCGTTAACATCTTTGGTAAAAAAAATAACAAGTAAACTCATCCGTTACATGAACAATAATATTATAGCTTAAAATGTTTAAATAAAAATAAGAAAACATTGTGACAAGGTGGGTGGAGTAGCGGCAGAGTAGTTAGTGCACGACGCTATGAACCTGGGGACCTGCACTCAATTGTCGCCCACAGTTAACATCAGTGGTGAGTGATACCTGAACTGGGCCTGGCCAACCATAACCGACAAGGCTTAGGGAGGCCTTCATCCATCAGTAGATTGCCAGAGAGCTGTTAATTCTTCTTCTCCTCCTCCTCATTATTTAACAATAACAAGGTCTTCGTTTACCACGAAACAGGCTGTTTTGCAGGAGGGCAATTATTTTAGCCAACTTGTCTCTACGCTGCGTAGGATTTTGTCAGCCGTGCTGCCGATGTCCGACATTGGTTTTTCTCTCCACGTGCTGGGAGCATCTTCGGTACCACCTGACAGCATGTCGGAGAGCTGACTCACCTGCCACAAGTAAACGGTGAGAGCAAACAAAAGTGTCTGATGAAAACCCAAGCGCATGAGCACGGAGGGCACTCAAAGTCTGCAGGGGATAGGTGAAAAACGTGCATTGTGTCCTACCTCGTACATGTAACTCATGGCACGCATGGTGAGTGTCTCCTTGCGGATTTCCAGCGATCCTATGCCACTATGAGGTCTTTGAAGTACAGTACAGTAATGTAGAGGTGAACATATCCCCCTGTTGTCAATACTTTGCTGAATGAGGGTTTTTTTTTTTCCATTCCACGTGGATCTTGGGTTATTTGACCATACTTCATCATGCTGGCCGGGACGAGTTGGTAAACAAGGGGTGCATCATATAACCGGGAGCATAGAAGTACAGAACAACAATCGATGTTGCCACATAGTCTATAACACTCGTTGTGCATGGCGGTCACCCATCCAATCACTATCCAGGCTCAGCGTTGCTTGGCTTCCAAAATCCGATGAGATCAGGTGCATTATGGGTGACTGTGTCAGTTTTGAAATAGCACTGCATCATATTAGTTAACAAAAGTAGTGTTTTCGCATACAATAGATCATGCAGGTTTTGAGACATTGAATCAGCCCGCGTCATAGTTTAACGATAACACATTTTTCGCGCTAGGGACGCGCATCCAGTTTAACACGCATCAAAGTAAAAACCTGCTGTGTGAAAATTCCTAAAAAAGAGAAGATTTTTGTTTGGTTTACGTTACTTATAAAATCAAACACCATCCAGTTGGTCACTTGTTGTTTCGTCTAAAAATGTGACACGTCGCCAGACTCGGCGGCGTCCATTAAATGTCTCCTGAGGCGTGAGGTTCTGAGCAGCGCCGACGAAAGAGCCTGTTTTTTTTGTCTTGCCCTTAATTTTTGCCCAAATGAGCGCTGCAGGTCTTATTTGCATGTGTTGCACATGCACTGCTGCTGGGAGAAGGAGGGAAGGGCTTGTACGTGGCATGCTCTGGGGCTGAACATTACATGACAACACTCACAGAGCATTTGCAATAGTCAAGTTGGCTTCGAGATTAGCCGAGTAAAGTACTTTACTGTACTAAAAATGAATAGTTTATGACAAAATGCGCCCTTAGATAACAATGGCCTCGCTGGAAATGTGTGTACATTTTAACACTTTAGAAAAAAATATATATCGGTTTATTTTGTGCTCTATATTGAACTTTAATTTGAGTACCTTGGAGAAAGGCACTTTCTAAATGTAATGTATTTATTATTGTGCACTACAGTTGACACTGGATATGTAACACAACCCTTGGGAGGGAACAGGTCCATGTATGCTTATATCCGAAGAGAGCCCCCTTATTACAGAGTATTTGGCCTACCGTTCCGTGCTGGACTAGACATCATTGTTAAAGGTGGGAGTGCCCACACTTTACCCCCACCTGACATAACCTGTCAGATGGACTAACTGTGGTGTGCCCGTTTGTATCGATTAGGTGTATAGAGGCGGGGGGGGGGGGAAGGGGAGGTGGGGGCGGATTTAAGAAACTTGCCCAATGTTTAAACTTGCCACACCAGCACGCCGGGAGATGGAACTGCAGACAGAGGTAAATGTCTGAGATGGATACACATTACGCTTACATTACACTAAGGCTCATATAACGTGTGCTCATTTGCAGCTTCACACGGCACGGATTGTACAACGTTCAGTTGACCTTGACTCATTGCCTCATTAACGGCGGATGCTGGTGATCAGATAATATTACTGTGCAATCACTCTGCCGTAGGCCAAGAGAACTCTGCAAGCACTGCCAACGCACTTTTAAAAAGGCATCGTTCACATTATCAAGCAAGAGTGCACCAGGTTATTTAGCAAAAGGAGAGAGTGCGGCTCTTATTGTTTCGGATGTCTCCATGGCATATACATTTACAAAAAAACTCGGCGCGAGTGTGGTAGTAGCAACACAAATATTGCGTTGTCTGATTTTGTGGCATTGTGCAGCTTGATGGTCATTTTGCTATGGTTATAGGATCCAATTGCAATGAATGTGTTTTTGTTTTCATGCCATTCGTAAATACCAAAAATATTGCTTCTTGCATAATGGCTAACTAAAATGACATTTCAGTAATGAACCAAGAATAAAGCAACATATATGCACCAACACCATGAACATTGAAGGCAATTTAAAAATTGCATCAGCCATGACCTATCAACTGCTAGATGAAGGCTTCCCCAAATTGGGGCGCCGCGGTGGCGAGATGTTACCTACCTCGCCTGGTATACTGGAGGTCGTGGACTCGATCCCGACCCTGATGCCTGTATATTTGGAGTTTGTATGTTCTCCCTGTGGTCGCGTGGATTTTTTTTACAGTTCCTTCAGTTATTTCCTCCACATTTAGAAACATGCGTTCAGAGTATCTGGGTGCTATACTTTTCCACTTCGTTCAGCTATTTGTGGCCAGGGCACTTCTGAAAACGAGCTATGTAGCTCAGGGGGGGGGGGGGGGGGGTGGCCTTAGCTGGTAAAATAATGTAGTTAAAATAATCACCATCCCTCGTGGTCTTGAAATACAACAACCCATTTCGCACCTGCACGTCAGCTTGACCTCAACCGCTCCCTCTCAGCGGTGGGCATCCTCTCTAATGCGTGTTTTTCCCTCCTTTGGCTGCGAGTTCATGATCAGTCTCGGCCATCATCCCTCCTAAGGCGGTGTTCCGCCCAAGCCCACTTATTCTTCTAAAGCAGTCAATACTGTGAGCCTGATTTGAGTTAGTTTCTCCAATCAATGAGTTCCTAATGTTGACTCTCATTGTCTTCCTCAACAACCATCTCTCAATTCCTTTTTTTGTATTTATTAATTTTGTCAGCGTCCACGTCTCCAATCCACAGTAGGTAATATGCATCGATTTAAAACGTTTCTCCTTAACCACATTGGTGTCTTGATATTCATTATCAAATGCAATTTTGTTCAAAGCGCTCCAATCCGCTTACACTCACCCCTTTATTTCACGATCTTGATACTCATCTACCTGGGTATACATAATCTATTGTGCTTATCATTTATTTATGCAATAATTATTTTAAATTGTTTTGAAAATTAATTGCACGTCACTTTTGTTTCTCATATATGTCTTAAAGCCGAACTTTAAATAATCTATTGTTCAATATTTTGAACCATTATCTGTAATACATTTCCCATTGGCTGTTAAAAATTCCTGTGGTAAAAAAAAATTGTAAAAAAAATTTTTTGGTTTAACCCCATATTTGTCCAATGCAATGTTTTTTTGTTAAATATCTTATAGTGTCACTGTGAATAGCACCGGTGAAAGCGTATATCCTTGCCTGACTCTTATGAATTATAATGTTACGGCACTGTACTTTGTGCAATGAATGCGTAGCTCTTCTATCTCAATAAATGGTTTTGATCATTTCTATAAACATACATTTTATGAGGGCCTTGGTTTGTGAGAGCCTATATGACTACATCAGTTTCTACTAAATCAAACGCCTTTTCATAGCCTATAAAAGCCAGGCAAAGCGGTACAGTGAAAACGCATTCAAATTAATAATGCAATACACAAACCTCAACTCTGGTAGCTGTTCCCAAGGTTAACCTTTAGATGGCGTTATGAAGCTGACACTCCCGTGCTCGGAATACGGGAGGTTTGGTTGGCATATGTAATGTCTTTTCCATTTGGATACTTAACCAGTGGTGTTGGTTTGTGGTTCTAATTTGTTAAAGCTACGGGTGTTCACAGCCTCAAGTTATGGATTTATTGGTGACTCGAATCTGAGGGCAACGTGTTGGTGATGATAAACCACCGGCGCTGGGGTGCCCAGCAGAACAGGGCTTTTGGGGAAGCTGTGTAGGATGCATGTGCCCAGCTGATAGAGAAGACGCCAATGAAGTCACTGTCATCGCATTGCAGTGAATCAATTCATCTATGCCAGCATGCTGCCGTCGTGCAATGGCGAACACAGTGGACTTGCGAGTGAGGTTTTCCACCTTTTCCATTTTCTTTGGGTCTTTCGGTAAAGTCACGTAGATAGATATTATTTTATTGTGATTTTTTTATCTACGTGACTTTACCGAAAGACCCAAAGAATACGAATTACTGCTGTCACGAAAGCTTTAAGTCAACCTTTTCCATTGTAAACCAAATCCAGACGTGTTTCTCTGGCAGCCCAAATCTATCAGCACTGTGCAGTAAACTGTAAAGGACTTTATATGTTTTCTTGCCAACCACAACAACAACCAAGACTTCAAAAATGTACTTCACCACCGACTCAAGTCTCTTTTCCCCTTCTGGGATTGCGCCGTCGCCATCTTAGAATCTCACCCAAATCTGGAAGAACGCCAGCAAAGCCAGAGTGGAACAATGCGGACGTCCAGAATAAACACCTCATTCGAGACCCACACCTCGCACCTCCTGGCTTTCACATTCCTGGAGGACACTGGTGGTGGAAGCATCAACCGCATCAGAACGTCAACAGGCTGATGCGCACATCTCCTTCACACATTGAAATTCAACGCAAGCCAGAGTGCAACTGCGGCCATGCAACCCAAACTATGGCTCTAGTAAATCACAGCATTCCATGCTCCTTCAACTGAGGAGAAGGAGGAATAGCAAAACTGCACAACTCCCTCCTGAAGCCCTCTCGTGGCTAGCAGACCTCGACATTGGCATTTAGCTCCTGAAAATATCGCAATACACAAGAACAGAATACTGTAAACTCTAATCGAGTTCAACACAAAACCACCAGATCTTGGTTACATTAAATTCACATAAGATGCCAATCAAGATAGCTCAACAAAGTGGCTTTTCACGTGAAAATTTATATCAGCCAAATACTCCAAATGCACGTTGATTCGAAATGTGGATGGAAAAACCGGAGGACCCAGGGAAAAATCCATATAACCGCGGGAAGAGAGACATGCAAACTCCATATAGACAGGCAGCAGGAACCCACGACCTCCTGCATACGAGGCAAGGTAGTTAACATCAAAGCACTGCTGGATGAAGGCTTTCCCTTGGGCCATCGCTGTTTTTCATGGTCCTGCGATGTAATGATCAACTTTGTATACCAGTCCCCATGTGTTGTGGAAGGCAGTTTCTATGAAGGTGTAGCGCTGTAGATGGGTCTCCAAGAACTCACTACAAAGGCAATCAGATCTGTAATTTGAGGCTTTTCGAGCGTTGGTCTGGAGTGCCATGGGATAGGGTGTAAAGTGAGCACTTGTGCAAGCGGATTTGATTTCCATTATCCCCAGTTAACAGTGAAATATGTAGCAGGGGAAATACCACTTTGAAGATGATATTTTAAAAGCACCGTTGTCGTGACAGATTAACGTTTGTGTCCACGACTGTTTATGTACAGGAAATACTCAAAACTATATGTTTTCCTCGATCGTTCTTAAAATTTTACCCAGGCCGATCAAAGAAAGCCACAAATGAGACATGAATGCTGGGGAAGGAAAAAGGAGGTCACCTATTCTCTTGTGCACCTGGTGAAGAAACAAGAACACACCAGTAGCACTTTCCCATAGTATATATGTGTAGCCGGGCGGTGGTGGCTTTGCACGTGGCTTGTAATCC